CTCAGAGTCTAGAGTAGAGACCAGGTCTCAGTGTCTCAGAGTCTCAGAGTCTCAGTGTCTCAGAGTCTCAGAGTCTCAGTGTCTCAGAGTCTAGAGTAGAGACCAGGTCTCAGTGTCTCAGAGTCTCAGAGTCTCAGTGTCTCAGAGTCTCAGTGTCTCAGAGTCTAGAGTAGAGACCAGGTCTCAGTGTCTCAGAGTCTCAGTGTCTCAGTGTCTCAGAGTCTCAGAGTCTCAGTGTCTCAGAGTCTCAGAGTCTCAGTGTCTCAGTGTCTCAGAGTCTCAGTGTCTCAGAGTCTCAGAGTCTCAGAGTCTCAGTGTCTCAGAGTCTAGAGTAGAGACCAGGTCTCAGTGTCTCAGAGTCTCAGAGTCTCAGTGTCTCAGAGTCTCAGTGTCTCAGAGTCTAGAGTAGAGACCAGGTCTCAGTGTCTCAGAGTCTCAGTGTCTCAGAGTCTCAGAGTCTCAGTGTCTCAGTGTCTCAGAGTCTCAGTGTCTCAGAGTCTCAGAGTCTCAGTGTCTCAGTGTCTCAGAGTCTCAGTGTCTCAGAGTCTCAGAGTCTCAGCTCAGAGTCTCAGTGTCTCAGAGTCTAGAGTAGAGACCAGGTCTCAGTGTCTCAGAGTCTCAGAGTCTCAGTGTCTCAGAGTCTCAGTGTCTCAGAGTCTAGAGTAGAGACCAGGTCTCAGTGTCTCAGAGTCTCAGTGTCTCAGAGTCTCAGAGTCTCAGTGTCTCAGTGTCTCAGAGTCTCAGTGTCTCAGAGTCTCAGAGTCTCAGTGTCTCAGAGTCTCAGAGTCTCAGTGTCTCAGTGTCTCAGAGTCTCAGTGTCTCAGTGTCTCAGTGTCTCAGTGTCTCAGAGTCTCAGAGTCTCAGAGTCTCAGTGTCTCAGAGTCTAGAGTAGAGACCAGGTCTCAGTGTCTCAGAGTCTCAGTGTGTCAGTGTCTAGAGTAGAGACTGTGTCTCAGTGTCTCAGAGTCTCAGAGTCTCAAGGTCTTAGTGTCTCAGTGTCTCAGTGGCTCAGTGTCTCAGAGTCTCAGTGTCTCAGAGTCTCAGTGTCTAGCGTAGAGACCAGGTCTCAGTGTCTCAGTGTCTAGCGTAGAGACCAGGTCTCAGTGTCTCAGTGTCTCAGTGTCTCAGAGTCTCAGAGTCTCAGAGTCTAGAGTAGAGACCGGGTCTCAGTGTCTCAGTGTCTCAGAGTCTCAGTGTCTCAGTGTCTCAGAGTCTCAGAGTCTCAGTGTCTCAGTGTCTCAGAGTCTCAGTGTCTCAGAGTCTCAGAGTCTCAGTGTCTCAGAGTCTAGAGTAGAGACCAGGTCTCAGTGTCTCAGAGTCTCAGAGTCTCAGTGTCTCAGAGTCTCAGTGTCTCAGAGTCTAGAGTAGAGACCAGGTCTCAGTGTCTCAGAGTCTCAGTGTCTCAGAGTCTCAGAGTCTCAGTGTCTCAGTGTCTCAGAGTCTCAGTGTCTCAGAGTCTCAGAGTCTCAGTGTTTCAGAGTCTCAGAGTCTCAGTGTCTCAGTGTCTCAGAGTCTCAGTGTCTCAGTGTCTCAGTGTCTCAGAGTCTCAGAGTCTCAGAGTCTCAGTGTCTCAGAGTCTAGAGTAGAGACCAGGTCTCAGTGTCTCAGAGTCTCAGTGTCTCAGTGTCTAGAGTAGAGACTGTGTCTCAGTGTCTCAGAGTCTCAGAGTCTCAAGGTCTCAGTGTCTCAGTGTCTCAGTGTCTCAGTGTCTCAGAGTCTCAGTGTCTCAGAGTCTCAGTGTCTAGCGTAGAGACCAGGTCTCAGTGTCTCAGTGTCTAGCGTAGAGACCAGGTCTCAGTGTCTCAGTGTCTCAGTGTCTCAGAGTCTCAGAGTCTAGAGTAGAGACTGTGTCTCAGTGTCTCAGTGTCTAGAGTAGAGACCGGGTCTCAGTGTCTCAGTGTCTCAGGGTCTCAGGGTCTCAGAGTCTCAGTGTCTCAGAGTCTCAGTGTCTCAGAGTCTCAGTGTCTCAGTGTCTCAGTGTCTAGAGTAGAGACAGTGTCTCAGTGTCTCAGAGTCTCAGTGTCTCAGTGTCTCAGTGTCTCAGTGTCTCAGAGTCTCAGAGTCTCAGAGTCTCAGTGTCTCAGAGTCTAGAGTAGAGACCAGGTCTCAGTGTCTCAGAGTCTCAGTGTCTCAGTGTCTAGAGTAGAGACTGTGTCTCAGTGTCTCAGAGTCTCAGAGTCTCAAGGTCTCAGTGTCTCAGTGTCTCAGTGTCTCAGTGTCTCAGAGTCTCAGAGTCTAGAGTAGAGACTGTGTCTCAGTGTCTCAGTGTCTAGAGTAGAGACCGGGTCTCAGTGTCTCAGAGTCTCAGTGTGTCAGTGTCTAGAGTAGAGACTGTGTCTCAGTGTCTCAGAGTCTCAGAGTCTCAAGGTCTTAGTGTCTCAGTGTCTCAGTGGCTCAGTGTCTCAGAGTCTCAGTGTCTCAGAGTCTCAGTGTCTAGCGTAGAGACCAGGTCTCAGTGTCTCAGTGTCTAGCGTAGAGACCAGGTCTCAGTGTCTCAGTGTCTCAGTGTCTCAGAGTCTCAGAGTCTCAGAGTCTAGAGTAGAGACCGGGTCTCAGTGTCTCAGTGTCTCAGAGTCTCAGTGTCTCAGTGTCTCAGAGTCTCAGAGTCTCAGTGTCTCAGTGTCTCAGAGTCTCAGTGTCTCAGAGTCTCAGAGTCTCAGTGTCTCAGAGTCTAGAGTAGAGACCAGGTCTCAGTGTCTCAGAGTCTCAGAGTCTCAGTGTCTCAGAGTCTCAGTGTCTCAGAGTCTAGAGTAGAGACCAGGTCTCAGTGTCTCAGAGTCTCAGTGTCTCAGAGTCTCAGTGTCTCAGAGTCTCAGTGTCTCAGAGTCTCAGAGTCTCAGTGTTTCAGAGTCTCAGAGTCTCAGTGTCTCAGTGTCTCAGAGTCTCAGTGTCTCAGTGTCTCAGTGTCTCAGAGTCTCAGAGTCTCAGAGTCTCAGTGTCTCAGAGTCTAGAGTAGAGACCAGGTCTCAGTGTCTCAGAGTCTCAGTGTCTCAGTGTCTAGAGTAGAGACTGTGTCTCAGTGTCTCAGAGTCTCAGAGTCTCAAGGTCTCAGTGTCTCAGTGTCTCAGTGTCTCAGTGTCTCAGAGTCTCAGTGTCTCAGTGTCTCAGTGTCTAGAGTAGAGACCGGGTCTCAGTGTCTCAGTGTCTCAGGGTCTCAGGGTCTCAGAGTCTCAGTGTCTCAGAGTCTCAGTGTCTCAGAGTCTCAGTGTCTCAGTGTCTCAGTGTCTAGAGTAGAGACAGTGTCTCAGTGTCTCAGAGTCTCAGTGTCTCAGTGTCTCAGTGTCTCAGTGTCTCAGAGTCTCAGAGTCTCAGAGTCTCAGTGTCTCAGAGTCTAGAGTAGAGACCAGGTCTCAGTGTCTCAGAGTCTCAGTGTCTCAGTGTCTAGAGTAGAGACTGTGTCTCAGTGTCTCAGAGTCTCAGAGTCTCAAGGTCTCAGTGTCTCAGTGTCTCAGTGTCTCAGTGTCTCAGTGTCTCAGAGTCTCAGAGTCTAGAGTAGAGACTGTGTCTCAGTGTCTCAGTGTCTAGAGTAGAGACCGGGTCTCAGTGTCTCAGTGTCTCAGGGTCTCAGGGTCTCAGAGTCTCAGTGTCTCAGAGTCTCAGTGTCTCAGAGTCTCAGTGTCTCAGTGTCTCAGTGTCTAGAGTAGAGACAGTGTCTCAGTGTCTCAGAGTCTCAGTGTCTCAGTGTCTCAGTGTCTCAGTGTCTCAGAGTCTCAGAGTCTCAGAGTCTCAGTGTCTCAGAGTCTAGAGTAGAGACCAGGTCTCAGTGTCTCAGAGTCTCAGTGTCTCAGTGTCTAGAGTAGAGACTGTGTCTCAGTGTCTCAGAGTCTCAGAGTCTCAAGGTCTCAGTGTCTCAGTGTCTCAGTGTCTCAGTGTCTCAGAGTCTCAGTGTCTCAGAGTCTCAGTGTCTAGCGTAGAGACCAGGTCTCAGTGTCTCAGTGTCTAGCGTAGAGACCAGGTCTCAGTGTCTCAGTGTCTCAGTGTCTCAGAGTCTCAGAGTCTAGAGTAGAGACCGGGTCTCAGTGTCTCAGTGTCTCAGAGTCTCAGTGTCTCAGTGTCTCAGTGTCTCAGAGTCTCAGTGTCTCAGTGTCTCAGTGTCTAGAGTAGAGACTGTGTCTCAGTGTCTCAGTGTCTAGAGTAGAGACCGGGTCTCAGTGTCTCAGTGTCTCAGGGTCTCAGGGTCTCAGAGTCTCAGTGTCTCAGAGTCTCAGTGTCTCAGAGTCTCAGTGTCTCAGTGTCTCAGTGTCTAGAGTAGAGACAGTGTCTCAGTGTCTCAGAGTCTCAGTGTCTCAGTGTCTCAGTGTCTCAGTGTCTCAGTGTCTCAGAGTCTCAGAGTCTCAGTGTCTCAAGGTCTCAGGGTCTCAGGGTCTCAGTGTCTCAGTGTCTCAGAGTCTCAGAGTCTCAGTGTCTCAGTGTCTCAGTGTCTCAGTGTCTCAGAGTCTCAGAGTCTCAGAGTCTAGAGTAGAGACCGGGTCTCAGTGTCTCAGTGTCTAGAGTAGAGACAGTGTCTCAGTGTCTCAGAGTCTCAGTGTCTCAGTGTCTCAGTGTCTCAGAGTCTCAGTGTCTAGAGTAGAGACCGGGTCTCAGTGTCTCAGTGTCTAGAGTAGAGACAGTGTCTCAGTGTCTCAGAGTCTCAGTGTCTCAGTGTCTCAGTGTCTCAGAGTCTCAGTGTCTCAGTGTCTCAGAGTCTCAGTGTCTCAGAGTCTCAGTGTCTCAGTGTCTCAGTGTCTAGAGTAGAGACAGGGTCTCAGTGTCTCAGTGTCTCAGAGTCTCAGTGTCTCAGTGTCTCAGTGTCTCAGAGTCTCAGAGTCTCAGAGTCTCAGTGTCTCAGTGTCTCAGAGTCTCAGAGTCTCAGTGTCTAGAGTAGAGACTGTGTCTCAGAGTCTCAGTGTCTCAGAGTCTCAGAGTCTCAGTGTCTAGAGTAGAGACAGTGTCTCAGTGTCTCAGAGTCTCAGTCTCTTCACATCGCGTTTCCAAATTCTGCCCCTCTGTGGCCCTCGCAGGGAATTGAAGGCGGCGGCCAGTTCATCCGGCCACAGCACCGTGGAATTGCCGTCGGCGGTGACGGAGGACGAGCCGCCTCGTGGCGGGAGTCCGGTGCAGCCGCCCGCCACCGCCACCACAGAGGGAGCGTCGCGATGAATTTGCGTTGTTGTTGTTGTTGTTGGTTGTTGTTGTTGGTTGTTGGTTGTTGTTGTTGTTGTGGCAACCAACAACGGCCACCACAGCGGCCGCGACAACAAGCACCACAGCAGCGCACACAGCAACAACAACCACAACAATATACAACAACAACAACCACAACCACCACAGCAACAACAACTACAACAGCAACAACAACCACAGCAGCGCACACAGCAACAACAACCACAACAGCAACAACAACAACAACTACAACCACCACAACAACCACAACAACAACTACAACCACCACAACAACCACAACAACTACAACCACAACAGCAACCACCACAGCAACAACAACCACAACAATTTACAACAAGCACCACAACAGCAAACACAACAACAACCACCACAGCAACCACAACAACAACAACCACAACAATATACAGCAACCACCACAGCAACCACAACAACAACCACAACAATATACAACAAGCACCACAACCTCAACAACCACAACAACAACCACAGCAACCACACTGACCACAGCAAGCACAACAACCACCACATCAACCACAACAACCACCACCGCAACCACCACAGCAACCACAACAACCACAACAACAGCAACCACAACAACCACTACAGCAAACACAACAACCACAACAACCACCACAACAACCACCACAACAACAACCACAACAACAACCACCACAACAACCACAACAACCACAACAACAACCACAACAACCACAACAACCACCACCACAATCACAACAACCACAACAACCACAACAACAACCACAACAACCACAACAACCACAACAACAATCGCCGTGCAGGAATCCTGCCAAATCCTGTGTTCGACTCCTGGCTGTGATTCTGAACATCGTCACAGCCAGGACCCATTGTTATTGTTGTTATTGTCGTTATTGTTGTTATTGTTGTTGTTGTTATTGTTGTTATTGTTACATTTTGTCGTGGTTGTTACCTTTCCAGAACCGTGCCAAGCCAGGCCCCCTGACACTGCTCCGGAAACTCCGCCCACCCCTCCCCCCCCCCCGCGCTGGCACGGTTTCGGGTTGCCGGCCAGTGGAAAAAAACACCGTGGTGCTGGCCTCGTGCTGGCACGGTTCGGATGTGGCAAGTGGAAAAACAACCACGACCCCGTACCGTGGTGCTGGCCCCGTGCTGGCACGGTTCGGATGTGTCAAGTGGAAAAACAACCACGACCCCGTACCGTGGTGCTGGCCCCGTGCTGGCACGGTTCGGATGTGGCAAGTGGAAAAACAACCACGACCCCGTACCGTGGTGCTGGCCCTGTGCTGGCATGGTTCGGATGTGGCAAGTAGAAAAACAACCACTACCCCGTACCGTGGTGCTGGCCCCGTGCTGGCACGGTTCGGATGTGTCAAGTGGAAAAACAACCACTACCCGTGCCGTGGTGCTGGCCCCGTGCTGGCACGGTTCGGATGTGTCAAGTGGAAAAAACAACCACTACCCCGTACCGTGGTGCTGACACGGTTCGGATGTGTCAAGTGGAAAAAACAACCACTACCCCGTACCGTGGTGCTGACACAGTTCGGATGTGTCAAGTGGAAAAACAACCACTACCCGCACCGTGGTGCTGGCCCCGTGGTGGTGGGTTGTGCGTGGAGTCTAAGTTGTCCTGTGTTGTTGTTGTTGCTGCTGCCTTGGCTTGGCTCATCGCCTTTAATCAAAGCTGCCATAATAACCTCTCCATTGTCTCTGTAATCTCCATCTCTCTGTGTCCATCTCTCCCCATCTCTCTCTGTCCATCTCTCTCTGTGTCCATCTCTCTGTGTCCATCTCTCTCCATCTCTGTGTCCATCTCTCTCTGTCCATCTCTCTCTGTCCATCTCTCTCTGTCCATCTCTCCCCCATCTCTCCCCATCTCTCCCCATCTCTCTCCATCTCCCTCTATGTCTCCCCATCTCTCTCCCCATCTCTCTCCATCATCTCTCTCCATCTCTCTCCATCTCTCCCCATCTCTCTCCATCTCTCTCCCCATCTCTCTCCATCTCCATCATCTCTCCCCATCTCTCTCCATCTCTCTCCCCATCTCTCTCCCCAATCTCTCCCCATCTCTCCCCATCTCTCTCCATCTCCCTCCATGTCTCCCCATCTCTCTCCCCATCTCTCTCCATCATCTCTCTCCATCTCTCTCCATCTCTCCCCATCTCTCTCCATCTCTCTCCCCATCTCTCTCCATCTCTCCCCATCTCTCTCCATCATCTCTCTCCATCTCTCTCCATCTCTCCCCATCTCTCCCCATCTCTCTCCATCTCTCTCCCCATCTCTCCCCATCTCTCTCCATCTCTCTCCATCATCTCTCCCCATCTCTCTCCATCTCTCTCCCCATCTCTCTCCCCAATCTCTCCCCATCTCTCTCCATCTCCCTCCATGTCTCCCCATCTCTCTCCCCATCTCTCTCCATCATCTCTCTCCATCTCTCTCCATCTCTCCCCATCTCTCTCCATCTCTCCCCCCATCTCTCCCCATCTCTCTCCATCTCTCTCCATCATCTCTCCCCATCTCCATCTCTCTCTCCATCTCTCTCCATCTCTCTCCATCTCTCTCCATCTCTCTCTCCATCTCTCCCATCTCTCCCCATCTCTCTCCATCTCTCCCCATCTCTCCCCATCTCTCTCCATCTCTCTCCATCTCCCCCATCATCTCCCTCCATCTCTCCCCATCTCTCTCCCCATCTCTCCCCATCTCTCCCCATCTCTCTCCCCATCTCTCCCATCTCTCTCCATCTCTCCCCATCTCTCCCCATCATCTCTCCCCATCTCTCCCCATCTCTCTCCCCATCTCTCCCCAATCTCTCTCCATCTCTCTCCATCTCTCCCCCATCATCTCTCCCCATCTCTCTCCATCATCTCTCCCCATCATCTCTCTCCATCATCTCTCTCCATCATCTATCTCGTTCATCATCTCTCTCCATCATCTCTCCCCATCTCTCTCCATCTCTCTCCCCATCTCTCCCATCTCTCTCCATCTCCCTCCATGTCTCCCCATCTCTCTACATCTCTCTCCCCATCTCTCCCCATCTCTCTCGCCATCTCTCCCCCATCATCTCTCCCCATCATCTCTCCCCATCTCTCCACCCCGTGTGTCCACCTGACACATGCAGCGCAATTTCCGCGGTAGCTTCATAATTTGTTTTTGTCTGTCCGCGAACTGCCGCTACCGGGCCTCGAAAGCAATCGGATTACTTAACGGCGTCGCGGATTACTCTGGCGGATTACTCTGGCGGATTACCCTACCCCAGCCGCAAATCGGCAGTAGTAGTAGCAGCGGGAGTGGCGGGCGGTGGCAATTATAATCGACTGAATAAAACTCCTTGGTGGGAAAAAAAAGAGTTTTTTTATATATATATAAAACGTCTTCATTGAAGTAACTTGGTTGAAGTCGCGGTCGAGAAGGACGTCAATGGCGCCCGGCGCACGTGGTAGACACAGCAGCAGGGTCCAGCAGGGAATAGAACGTGGCAGTGGTGGCGGCGGTGGTGGTGGCGGTGGTGGCGGTGGTGGTGGTGGCGGTGGTGGCGGTGGTGGTGAGGCTGAGACACGTGGGGTAGAGGACACGCAGGGTAGAGACATTACCACCACGTTGATGATCACCCGCCCCACTCACCTGCCCACTCGCCCATCCACTCACCCACTCACCCATCCACTCACCCGCCCACTCGCCCACTCACCCATCCACTCACCCACTCACCCATCCACTCACCCATCCACTCACCCACTCACCCACCCACTCACCCACCCATCCACCCACTCACCCATCCACCCACTCACCCACCCACTCACGCACCCACCCACTCACTCACCCACCCCACCTACTCATCCACCCACTCATCCACCCACTCACCCATCCATCCACCCACTCACCCATCCACTCACCCACTCACCCATCCACTCACCCACTCACCCATCCACTCACCACCCACCCACTCACCACCCACCAATTCTACTCACCCAGCCACTCATCCAGCCACCCACTAACCCATCCACTCACCCACCCACTCACCCACCCACGCATCCACCGACTCACCACCCACCCACCCCACCCACTCACCCACCCCACTCACCACCCACACACCCACCCCACCCACTCACCCACCCCACCCACTCACCCACTCGTCCACCCCACCCACTCACCCACCCCACCCACTCACCCACCCACTCAACCACCCCACCCACTCACTCACCCACCTCACCCACCCCACCCACTCACTCACCCACCCACTCAGCCACCCACCCATTCTACTCACCCATCCACTCACCCATCCACTCACCCACTCACCCACCCACTCACCCCACTCACCCACCTCACCCACCTCACCCACCCACCCCACCTACCTCACCCACTCACCCACTCACCCACCCCACCTACTCACCCACTCACCCACCTCACCCACTCACCCACCCACTCACCCCACCCACCCACCCACTCACCACCCACCCATTCTACTCACCCATCCACGCACCCATCCACCCACTCACCCACCCACTCACCCACCCACCTTACCCACTCACCCACCTCACCCAACTCACCCACCCACCCACTCACCAACCTCACCCACTCACCCACCTCACCCACTCACCCACCCCACTAACCACCCACTCACCCACGCCACCCCACCCACTCACCACCCACCCACCCCACTCACCACCCACTCACCCACCCACCTACCCCACTCACTCACCACCCACTCACCACCCACCCCACTCACTCACCCACTCACCCACCCCACCCACTCACTCACCCACTCACCCACCCACCCCACTCACCACCCACTCACCACCCACCCCACCCACTCACCACCCATTCACTCACCACCCACTCACCACTCACCACCCACCCACCACCCACTCACCACCCACTCACCACCCACTCACCCACCCCACCCACTCACCACCCACTCATCACCCACTCACCACCCACTCACCACTAACCACCCACTCACCACCCACTCACCCACCCCACCCACTCACCCACCCACTCACCCACTCACCCACTCACACTCACTCACCCACCCACTCACAACTCACTCACCCACCCACTCACTCACTCACCCACCCACTCACCCACTCACCACCCACCCACCCACCCACTCACTCACCCACCACCCACCCACCACTCACCCACTCACCCACCCACCCACTCACCCACCCACCCACTCACCACCCACCCACTCACCCACCCACCCACTCACCCACCCACTGACCCACCCACTCACCCACTCACCCACCCACTCACCACCCACCCACCCACTCACCCACCCACCCACTCACCCAACCACCCACTCACCCAACCACCCACCCACCCACTCACCCACCCATCCACTCACCCACTCACTCACTCACCCACTCACCCACTCACCCACTCACCCACTCACTCACCCACCCACCCACTCACCCACTCACCCACCCACCCACCCATCCACTCACTCACCCACTCACTCACTCACCCACCCACTCACCCACTCACTCACTCACCCACTCACCCACTCACTCACTCACCCACCCACTCACTCACTCACCCACCCACTCACTCACCCACCCACTCACCCACCCACTCACTCACTCACCCACCCACTCACCCACCCACTCACCCACCCACCCACTCACCCACTCACTCACCCACCCACTCACCCACTCACTCACGCACCCACTCACCCACCCACTCACTCTCCCACCCACCCACCCACTCACCCACTCACCCACTCACTCACCCACCCACCACCCACCCACTCACCCACCCACCACCCACCCACAGAGAGGAGCCGCATGGACGAGAGAACGAGCAACAGGGTGGAGACGTCCAGCAGTGGATAGGTCCTGGCTGCTGTATGTAGTAGTGTAGTGTATAGTGTATAGTACTGCATAGTGTAGTGTATAGCGTAGTGTATAGTGTAGTGTATAGTACTGCATAGTGTAGTGTATAGCGTAGTGTATAGTGTAGTGTATAGTGTAGTGTATAGTGTAGTGTATAGTAGTGTAGTGTATAGTAGTGTATAGTAGTATAGTGTAGTGTATAGTAGTGTACAGTGTAGTGTATAGTAGTGTATAGTCTGTAGTGTATAGTGTAGTGTATAGTAGTGTAGTGTATAGTAGTGTATAGTGTGTAGTGTAGTGTATAGTCGTGTAGTGTATAGCAGTGTAGTGTATAGTAGTGTATAGTGTAGTGTATAGTAGTGTATAGTGTAGTGTATAGTAGTGTAGTGTATAGTCGTGTAGTGTATAGCAGTGTAGTGTATAGTAGTGTATAGTGTAGTGTATAGTAGTGTATAGTGTAGTGTATAGTAGTGTAGTGTATAGTGTAGTGTATAGTAGTGTGTAGTGTATAGTGTAGTGTATAGTCGTGTAGTGTATAGTAGTGTAGTGTATAGTAGTTTAGTGTATAGTAGTGTAGTGTGTAGTGTATAGTGTAGTGTATAGTGTAGTGTATAGTAGTGTAGTGTATAGTAGTTTAGTGTATAGTAGTGTAGTGTATAGTAGTGTAGTGTATAGTAGTGTAGTGTATAGTTTAGTGTGTAGTAGTGTATAGTGTAGTGCATAGTAGTGTAGTGTATAGTAGTGTAGTGTGTAGTGTATAGTAGTGTAGTGTGTAGTGTATAGTAGTGTAGTGTGTAGTGTATAGTAGTGTATAGTGTAGTGTATAGTAGTGTAATGTATAGTGCATAACGGGCCGGTGAATCGACATCACACTAATCGATCAAACGATAAGAGACCAGCGAATCGGTATCACACCAATCGATTACCGTAATCGCTAGCAAGCTGGCGAATCGGCATCGCTCTAATCGATTAATCGATAACGCCTCCCCGGCGGATCGACGTTGCACTAATCGATTCGTTTGACAACGGCCTGGGGAACGGACATCGCGTGCGATCGCTATCGCAGGTGATCGATTAATCGATATCAGTCCGGCGAATCGCCATAGCAGGTAATCGATTTCAGGCGGCGTCCCGTATAAAAGCACGTGGTCCAATACCGGAAGTGGGTTTAGGAGATGGCGCTACTCGCTACTAACAACAAGCAATTACTTAGCTACCTAACTACTTACTAACTACAACTACGTAGCTACCTAACTACTTACTTACTAACTACAACTACTAACTACTTAACTACCTAACTACTTAGCTACCTAACTACTTAGCTACCTAACTACTTACTAACTACACCTACTAACTACTTAGCTACCTAACTACTTAGCTACCTAACTACTAACTACTTAGCTACCTAACTACTTACTAACTACTTAGCTACCTAACTACTAACTACTTAGCTACCTAATTACTAACTACTTAGCTACCTAACTACAACTACTAACTACTTAGCTACCTATCTACTTACTAACTACTTAGCTACCTAACTATTTACTAACTACAACTACTAACTACTTAGCTAGCTAACTACTTACTAACTACAACTACTAACTACTTAGCTACCTATCTACTTACTAACTACTTAGCTACCTAACTATTTACTAACTACTACTACTAACTACTTAGCTACCTAACTACTTACTAACTACAACTACTAACTACTTAGCTACCTAACTACTTACTAACTACTTAGCTACGTTACTACTTACTAACCACAACTACTAACTACTTAGTTACCTAACTACTTACTAACTACAACTGCTAACTACTTACTAACTACAACTACTAACTACCTACTATCTACCAACAACAAACTACTTACTAACTACTTAGCTACCTAACTACTTACTAACCACTAACTAACTACAACTACTAACTAACTACAACTACTTACTAACTATCTAACTACTTAGGTACCTAACTACTTACTAACTACCTACTAACACACAACTACTTAGCTACAATTACTTACTAACTATCTAACTCCCTACTAACTACAAACTATCTACTAATTACCTACTTGGTATCTACTAACTAACTACCACTACCTGCCACTAACTACTATTAACTACCACTACTAACTTCCACTACTACTAACTACCACTACCACTAACTACCACTACTACTGACTACCACTAACTACCTACCACTAACTACCACTACCACTAACTACTACTAACTACCACTAACTACCACTAATTACCTACACTAATGAACAGTTATAACGGCGGTGGTGATGGTAGGTAGTGATACTACTACCGCTGATACTACTACTGTTGATACTACTACCGCTGATACTACTACTACTGTTGATACTACTGTTGATACTGCTACCGCTGATACTACTACTGATACAACTAATAATACCGCTGATATGTATACTGATACATCTACTAATACAACCGCTGATACTACCGCTGATACTACCACTACTGCTACTACCACTGCTGCTACTGCCACTGCTGTTATTAATACTGCTGCTATTACTACTACCACAACTACCACTGCTACTACTGCTGCTGCTATTACTACTGCTACTACCACTACTACTACTGCTTCTACTACTGCTGCTGCTACTGCTGCTACTACTACTGCTACTACTGCTGCTACCACTACTACTGCTGCTACTACTACTGCTACCACTACTACAACTGCTACTACTGCTACTACTGCTGCTACCACTACTACTACTTCTACTGCTGTTGCTACCACTACTGCTGCTGCTGCTACCACTACTGCTGCTGCTACTGCTGCTGCTATTACTGCTGCTGCTGCTACTACTGCTGCTGCTACTACTACTACTGCTGCTGCTACTACTGCTACTACTGCTGCTACTACTACAACTGCTACTACTGCTGCTACTACTACAACTGCTGTTACTACTGCTGCTACCACTACTACTGCTGCTCCCACTACTGCTGCTTCTACTACTACAACTGCTACTACTACTGCTGCTGCCACTCCTACCACTGCTACTGCTGCTCCCACTACTGCTGCTTCTACTACTACTACTGCTGCCACTACTACTGCTACTACTGCTTCTACTACTACTACTGCTACCACTACTACAACTACTGCTTCTACTACTGCTGCTACTACTGCTGCTCCCAATACTACTGCTGCTACTACTACTGCCACTGCTGCCACTGCTACAACTCTGAAAGTCACTCCAATGTACTCGGTGCTGCCCACGTGGCTGCTGCGTTCGCGTCTGTACGAGGTGAGTCGTTAGATAGTACAACAACTCTCAACGCCGTGGTTATAGGGATTTATTGGGACCCTTGTAGGGTTATTAGAAACCTTATAGGGGTTGTTAGGACTTTTATAGGGGTTGTTATAACCTTTATCTGGGCTATTAGGACCCTTATTATAGGGTTATTTGAATCCTTATAGGGTTACTAGCGGGAAGTACTCGGCGTTGTTCGGGTGGTACCTGATATGATTACAGCAGTGCGTACTGACTGTGGTGGTACCTGCTATGATTACAGTAGTGCATACTGTGGTGGTACCTGCTATGATTACAGCAGTGCATACTAACTGGTGGTACCTGCTATCACTACAGCAGTGCATACTAACTGGTGGTACCTGCTATCACTACAGTAGTGCATACTGACTGTGGTGGTACCTGCTATGATTACAGTAGTGCATACTGTGGTGGTACCTGCTATGATAACAGCAGTGCATACTAACTGGTGGTACCTGCTATCACTACAGTAGTGCATACTGACTGTGGTGGTATCTGCTATGATTACAGCGGTACATATTGACTGTGGTGGTGCCTGCTATGATTACAGCGGTACATACTGACTGGTGGTACCTGCTATGATTACAGTGGTGCATACTGACTGTGGTGGTGCTTGCTATGATTACAGCAGTGTATACTGACTATGGCGGTACGTGCTATGATTATAGCGGTGCATACTGACTCTGGTGGTACCTGCTATGATTACAGCAGTGCATGCTAACTGTGGTGGTACCTGCTATGATTACAGTAGTGCATACTGACTGTGGTGGTACCTGCTATGATTACAGCAGTGCATACCATCTGTGGTGGTACCCGCTATCACTACAGTAGTACATGCTGACTCTATAGCAGTATTTACCGACTCTATAGCACAAAGTACTCACCGTGGTGAGGCCTAGTCCCGTGCAGAGCCTCCGGCCTCGCCTAGATTGTCCAGCCGGCCGAGGTGGTACCTTGGCAGGCTGGGGCTGCCACCCCTGCCCCCCCCCCCCCCCCCCCCCGCAGCCACGATGTTCCCGGCCACTCTGCACTCTGCAGTAATATCTACGGGCCTATAGTGGTAGCATCTAGTGACGGTACGGTAGTAATAACTGCACGCATCGGGGTGGGGGTGTGTGTGGGGACATCACACAGTGAAGATTTAAGCTCAGCGTTTAGTGTATTTTTATAGCGTTTTTAACGTGAAAGAAAATATATCCCCCTCACTCCCACCGAAGTCGTGCGACCACACACAAACCCACAATTTTTGACTTGTATACGTAGATTAGAACCCTTATATGAGTTTTTAGAACCCATATAGGGTTTATTTGAACCCTTATAGGGTTATTAGAACCCTTATAGGGGTTATTAGGAACCTGTGTATGGTTATTAGAACCTTTATAGGGTTATTTAAACCCTTTTATGGTTTTTAGAACCCTTAAAAAGGCCGTGGTTATAGGGGTTATTAGAACTGTTTAATCACCGTGGTTATAGGGGTTTATTAGAACCCTTCTCGGGTTATCAGAACCCTTATAGGGTTATTGTAACCCGTATAAATAGCGTGGTTATAGGGGTTTACTGTCGGTTATCAAAGGGTAGAACACACCTACACACATTCTTGATCTGTTACAACTTTGATAACCGCCACAAATGGTGTCGGTTAATAAAAGCGTAGAACACACCAACACACATTCTTGATTTTCACAACTTTGATAACCGCTACAAATGGTGTTGGTTATCAAAGGGTAGAACACACCTACACACGTTCTTGATTTTCACAACTTTGATAACCGCCACAAATGGTGTCTGTTATCAAAGGGTAGAACACACCTACACACATTCTTGATCTGTCAAAACTCTGATAACCGCTACAAATGGTGTCTGTTATCAAAGGGTAGAACACATCTACGTCGTGATAATTTTATTGTGTTATTTTATTTATTATTTTATTCTCATTCTACATGACTTTACCGAAAGAACCAAAGAAGACACCTGCACACATTCTTGATTTTCACAACTTTTGATAACCGCCACAAATGGTGTCGGTTATCAAAGGGTAGTAGAACACACCTACACACGTTCTTGATCTGTCAAAACTCTGATAACCGCTACAAATGGTGTCTGTTATCAAAGGGTAGAACACACCTACACACGTTCTTGATTTTCACAAATTTGATAACCGCTACAAATGGTGTCGGTTATCAAAGGGTAGAACACACCTACACACGTTCTTGATTTTCACAACTTTGATAACAACTACAAATGGTGTCAGTTATCAAAGGGTAGAACACACCTACGTCGTGAGAATTTTATTGTGTTATTTTATTTTATTCATTATTTTATTCTCATTCTACGTGACTTTACCGAAAGAACCAAAGAAGACACCTGCACACATTCTTGATTTTCACAACTTTTGATAACCGCCACAAATGGTGTCGGTTATCAAAGGGTAGTGCACACACCTACACACGTTCTTGATCTGTCACAACTTTTGAGAACCGCCACAAAATGGTGTCGGTTATCAAAGGGTAGTGCACACACCTACACACGTTCTTGATCTGTCACAACTTTTGATAACCGCCACAAAATGGTGTCGGTTATCAAAGGGTAGTGCACACACCTACACACGTTCTTGATCTGTCACAACTTTTGATAACCGCCACAAAATGGTGTCGGTTATCAAAGGGTAGTAGAACACACCTACACACGTTCTTGATCTGTCACAACTTTTGATAACCGCCACAAAATGGTGTCGGTTATCAAAGGGTAGTAGAACACACCTACACACGTTCTTGATCTGTCAAAACTCTGATAACCGCTACAAATGGTGTCAGTTATCAAAGGGTAGTAGAACACACCTACACACGTTCTTGATCTGTCACAACTTTTGATAACCGCCACAAAATGGTGTCGGTTATCAAAGGGTAGTAGAACACACCTACACACGTTCTTGATCTGTCAAAACTCTGATAACCGCTACAAATGGTGTCAGTTATCAAAGGGTAGTAGAACACACCTACACACGTTCTTGATCTGTCACAACTTTTGATAACCGCCACAAAATGGTGTCGGTTATCAAAGGGTAGTAGAACACACCTACACACGTTCTTGATCTGTCAAAACTCTGATAACCGCCACAAATGGTGTCGGTTATCAAAGGGTAGAACACACCTACGTCGTGAGAATTTTATTGTGTTATTTTATTTTATTCATTATTTTATTCTCATTCTACGTGACTTTACCGAAAGAACCAAAGAAGACACCTGCACACATTCTTGATTTTCACAACTTTTGATAACCGCCACAAATGGTGTCGGTTATCAAAGGGTAGTAGAACACACCTACACACGTTCTTGATCTGTCAAAACTTTTGATAACCGCCACAAAATGGTGTCGGTTATCAAAGGGTAGTAGAACACACCTACACACGTTCTTGATCTGTCACAACTTTTGATAACCGCCACAAAATGGTGTCGGTTATCAAAGGGTAGTAGAACACACCTACACACATTCTTGATTTTCACAACTTTGATAACTGCCACAAATGGTGTCGGTTATCAAAGGGTAGTAGAACACACCTACACACGTTCTTGATCTGTCACAACTTTTGATAACCGCCACAAATGGTGTCGGTTATCAAAGGGTAGTAGAACACACCTACACACATTCTTGATCTGTTACAACTTTGATAACCACCACAAATGGTGTCGGTTATCAAAGGGTAGTAGAACACACCTACACACGTTCTTGATCTGTCACAACTTTTGATAACCGCCACAAAATGGTGTCGGTTATCAAAGGGTAGTGCACACACCTACACACGTTCTTGATCTGTCAAAACTCTGATAACCGCCACAAATGGTGTCGGTTATCAAAGGGTAGAACACACCTACACACGTTCTTGATTTTCACAACTTTGATAACAACTACAAATGGTGTCAGTTATCAAAGGGTAGAACACACCTACGTCGTGAGAATTTTATTGTGTTATTTTATTTTATTCATTATTTTATTCTCATTCTACGTGACTTTACCGAAAGAACCAAAGAAGACACCTGCACACATTCTTGATTTTCTCAACTTTTGATAACCGCCACAAATGGTGTCGGTTATCAAAGGGTAGTAGAACACACCTACACACATTCTTGATCTGTCACAACTTTTGATAACCGCCACAAAATGGTGTCGGTTATCAAAGGGTAGTAGAACACACCTACACACGTTCTTGATCTGTCACAACTTTTGATAACCGCCACAAAATGGTGTCGGTTATCAAAGGGTAGTAGAACACACCTACACACGTTCTTGATCTGTCACAACTTTTGATAACCGCCACAAATGGTGTCGGTTATCAAAGGGTAGTAGAACACACCTACACACGTTCTTGATCTGTCAAAACTCTGATAACCGCTACAAATGGTGTCTGTTATCAAAGGGTAGTGCACACACCTACACACGTTCTTGATCTGTCACAACTTTTGATAACCGCCACAAAATGGTGTCGGTTATCAAAGGGTAGTAGAACACACCTACACACGTTCTTGATCTGTCACAACTTTTGATAACCGCCACAAAATGGTGTCGGTTATCAAAGGGTAGTGCACACACCTACACACATTCTTGATCTGTCACAACTTTGATAACCGCCACAAAATGGGTGTCCCACGATGCAGCTTCTGCTCACCCCGAAGCTATCGGCGCTCCTTGGCGGTGCATCGCCTCGATTCTTCTTCAACGTTCAAACCTCGTTTGCGTCTCTCGATCCACTCCGCCTCCCCCGTTGCAGACCCTCTGCCCGGCAGGCGCCGGCTCCGTGCCTTCGTATAAATGTCGACTACCTCCTCAAGCTCCTGCTCCTCCATCTCAAGCTCCTGCTCCTCCATCTCAAGCTCCTGCTCCTCCATCTCAAGCTCCTGCTCCTCCATCTCAAGCTCCTCCTCCTCCTCCTCCTCAAGGCAGCAGTGTGGGGCGGTGCTGTACCCCGGGAGGCACCAGACAGAGTCACCTGCTGCCAGAGGGAGAGGTGCGGGTGGAGGTGGTGGAGGTGGTGGAGTGGGAGGAGGAGGTGGAGTGGGAGGAGATGGAGTGGGAGGAGATGGAGTGGGAGGAGGAGGAGTGGGAGGAGGTGGAGTGGGAGGAGGAGGAGTGGGAGGAGGTGGAGTGGGAGGAGGTGGTGGAGGTGGTGGAGGAGGTGGAGTGGGAGGAGGTGGTGGAGGTGGTGGAGGTGGTGGTGGAGTTGGAGGTGGTGGTGGAGTGGGAGGAGGTGGAGTGGGAGGAGGTGGTGGAGGTGGTGGAGTGGGAGGAGGTGGTGGAGGTGGTGGAGGTGGTGGAGGTGGTGGTGGAGTGGGAGGAGGTGGAGTGGGAGGAGGTGGAGTGGGAGGTGGTGGTGGAGGTGGTGGTGGAGGTGGTGGTGGTGGTGGAGTGGGAGGAGGTGGAGTGGGAGGAGGTGGAGTGGGAGGAGGTGGAGTGGGAGGTGGTGGTGGAGGTGGTGGTGGTGGTGGAGGTGGAGGAAGTGGAGTGGGAGAAGGTGGAGTGGGAGGAGGTGGAGTGGGTGGAGGTGGAGGTAGTGGTGTGGGAGGAGGTGGTGGTGGAGGTGGTGGTGTGGGAGGAGGTGGTGGAGGTGGTGGAGGTGGTGGTGGAGGTGATGGAAGAGGTGGAGGAGGTGGAGGTGGTGGAGGTGGTGGAGGTGGCGGAGGTGGTGGAGTGGGAGGAGGTGGAGTGGGAGGAGGTGGAGTGGGAGGAGGTGGTGGTGTGGGAGGAGGTGGTGGTGGTGGAGGTGGTGGAGTGGGTGGTGGTGGTGGAGGTGATGGAAGAGGTGAAGGAAGAGGTGAAGGAGGTGGAGGTGGTGGAGGTGGTGGAGGTGGCGGAGGTGGTGGAGTGGGAGGTGGTGGAGTGGGAGGAGGTGGAGTGGGAGGAGGTGGTGGAGGTGGTGGTGGAGGTGGTGGTGGAGGTGGTGGTGGAGGAAGTGGAGTGGGAGAAGGTGGAGTGGGTGGAGGTGGAGTGGGAGGAGGTGGTGGAGGTGGTGGTGGAGGTGGTGGTGGAGGTGGAGGAAGTGGAGTGGGAGAAGGTGGAGTGGGAGGAGGTGGAGTGGGTGGAGGTGTGGTGGAGGTAGTGGTGTGGGAGGAGGTGGTGGTGTGGGAGGAGGTGGTGGTGGAGGTGGTGGTGGAGGTGGTGGAGTGGGTGGTGGTGGAGGTGGTGGTGGAGGTGATGGAAGAGGTGAAGGAGGTGGAGGTGGTGGAGGTGGTGGAGGTGGTGGAGGTGGCGGAGGTGGTGGAGTGGGAGGAGGTGGAATGGGAGGAGGTGGTGTGTGTGTGTCTGTGTGAGTGTGTGAGTGCGTGTGTGTGTGTGTCTGTGTGTGTGTGTGTCTGTGTGTGTGAGTGTGTGTCTGTGTGTCTGTGTGTGAGTGTGTGTGTATGTGTGAGTGTATGTGTGAGTGTGTGTGTGAGTGTATGTATGTGTGTTTGTGTATGTCTGTGTGTGTCTGTGGATGTCTGTATATGTCTGTGTGTGTGTATGTGTGAGTGTATGTATGTGTGTATGTGTGAATGTGTGTGTGTGAGTGTATGTATGTGTGTGTGAGTGTATGTGTGTGTGAATGTGTGTATGTGAGTGTATGTATGTCTGTATATATGTGTGTGAGTGTATGTATGTATGTGAGTGTATGTACGTGTGAGTGTATGTACGTGTGAGTGTGTGTACGTGTGTGTATGTGTGATGGTGTGTGTATGTGAGTGTGTGTATGTGAGTGTATGTATGTGTATGTATGTGTATATATGTGTGTGTGAATGTGTGTATGTGTGTGTATGTATGTGTGTATATATGTATGTGAGTGTATGTATGTGAGTGTGTGTGTGTGAATGTGTGTATGTGAGTGTGTGTGTGAATGTGTGTATGTGTGTGTATGTTTGTGTGTGTATGTATGTGTGTGTGAATGTGTGTATGTGAGTGTATGTATGTCTGTATATATGTATGTGTGTGTGTGAATGGGTGTATGTGAGTGTATGTATGTGAGTGTATGTATGTGTGTGTATGTATGTGAGTGTATGTATGTATGTCTGTATATATGTGTGTATGTGAGTGTATGTATGTGAGTGAATGTATGTAAGTGAATGTATGTATGTGTGTGTATGTATTTGTGTGTCTGTGGTGAAGATTTCCGCCACGGCCGCCACCGGGCCGGCGAAGTCTCCCGGCGACGCCGAAGGGAGAGGGGGGAGGAGCCGGGGGTCGGAGGCCGTGACCCCGGTGACCCCGGTGACGACCCCGGTGACCCTGGTGACGACCCCCGTGGCCCCGGTGCGGCCTCACTCGGCCTACGCCCTCTTCTTCCGCGACACTCACGTGGCCATCAGGGGCCAGGACCCTGACGCCTCCTTCGGGGACGCCACCAGGATCGTGGCCTCCATGTGGGACAGCCTCGCTGATGGGCAGAAGCAGGTGGGGGTGGGGGGGGGGTGGGGGTGGTGGTGGTAGACGTGGTGGTGGTGGACGTAGAGGTGGTGGAGGTGGTGGTAGAGTGTGTGGAGGTGGTGGATTGGGAGGAGCTCACAAATCCTTGAAAGATCTGGGCAAGGTCCCATCGGTGAGCTCCTCCGGCCGGCAAGGCTGCGTTGGGTGGGTCATGTAGCCCGCATGCCCAGCCACCGCATGCCGAAACAGCTTTTGTTCGGCCGGATTGAGGGGGCTAAACAGGCGCGGCACGGGCTAGAGAAGAAATGGAGTGACTTGGTACAGGAGGACGTGGAGCTGAGTGGACTTGCCGATGACCGGTACCAGCGGTGTCAAGATCGGCCTCTGTGGAGGAGGCTCGTGAAGGACGCTACTGGGCAGTTGGAGGTAGTCGCCCTCCAACAACAACGGAGGGCGGAGGAGCGACGCTCACAACAACGAGCGGAGCGCAGGGTGGCTAAAGCACAGCAGGTTGGCACAGTAGGGGGCACAGATGGTGCATCAGCCAGTCATCTCAGTCGACCCGTGGCACCTGGGTCTGCCCCGTGACCTCCTGCCAGCGGGTGTTCGACACTTCACGTGGCCTCAGGGTGCACATAGCCTGGCACAAGCGTCGTGGTGACGTCACCGCCACTTAGTGGTGAATGGCGGTTGTTGTTGTTGTGGGAGGAGGTGGTGGTGTTTGTGGTGGACATGGTGATGGACGTGGTGGTGGACGTGGTGGTAGTTGTGGTGGTGATGGTGGTGGTGGTTGTGGACGTGGTGGACGTGGTGGACGTGGTGGTGGTGGACGTGGTAATTGGTGGTGGACGTGGTGGTGTTGGTGGTGGTGGTGGATGTGGTGGCGGTGGACGTTTTGGTGGTGGTTGTGCATGTGGTGGTGGTGCTGGACGTGGTGGTGGTGGACGTGGTGGTGGTGATGGTGGTGATGGTGGTGGTTGCGATGATCCTCCTCCGAGTGTTATTGGTGGATTTGGTTTCACAAACAGACGAACTTACACAGAGCCAGTGACCCTTACACCCTGAGACCCGGTCTCTACTCTAGACACCCTGAGACCCTGAGACCAGGTCCTGACTGACGTGGCTCGCTATTCTGTTTTGTTGTCCCAGGTTTACAAGAAGAAATCTGATGATGGCAAGAAGGAATATCTGAAGGCGTTAGTGGCCTACAAGGCCACGTTAGCCACCAAGGTGAGGAGTCTCACCCCCAGGGTCTCAGCGTCTAGAGTAGAGACCGGGTCTCAGTGTCTCAGTGTCTAGAGTAGAGACCGGGTCTCAGGTTCAGTGTCTAGAGTAGAGACCTGGTCTCAGGGTCAGTGTCTAGAGTAGAGACTGGGTCTCAGTGTCTAGAGTAGAGACCGGGTGTCAGTGTCTCAGTTTCTAGAGTAGAGACCGGGTCTCAGTGTCTTAGTGTCCAGAGTAGAGACCGGGTCTCAGGGTCTAGAGTAGAGACCAGGTCTCAGGGTCAGTGTCTAGAGTAGAGACCTGGTCTCAGGGTCAGTGTCTAGAGTAGAGACCGGGTCTCAGGTTCAGTGTCTTGAGTAGAGACCTGGTCTCAGGGTCAGTGTCTAGAGTAGAGACCGGGTCTCAGTGTCTAGAGTAGAGACCGGGTGTCAGTGTCTCAGTTTCTAGAGTAGAGACCGGGTCTCAGTGTCTTAGTGTCCAGAGTAGAGACCGGGTCTCAGGGTCTAGAGTAGAGACCAGGTCTCAGGTTCAGTGTCTAGAGTAGAGACCTGGTCTCAGGGTCAGTGTCTAGAGTAGAGACCGGGTCTCAGTGTCTAGAGTAGAGACCGGGTGTCAGTGTCTCAGTTTCTAGAGTAGAGACCGGGTCTCAGTGTCTTAGTGTCCAGAGTAGAGACCGGGTCTCAGGGTCTAGAGTAGAGACCAGGTCTCAGGGTCAGTGTCTAGAGTAGAGACCAGGTCTCAGTGTCTAGAGAAGAGACCGGGTCTCAGGGTCTCAGGGTCTAGAGTAGAGACCGGGTCTCAGGGTCTAGAGTAGAGACCAGGTCTCAGTGTCTCAGTGTCTAGAGTAGAGACCAGGTCTCAGTGTCTAGAGAAGAGACCGGGTCTCAGTGTCTCAGTGTCCCGAGTAGAGACCAGGTCTCAGGTTCAGTGTCTAGAGTAGAGACCGGGTCTCAGTGTCTAGAGTAGAGACCAGGTCTCAGGGTCTCAGTGTCTAGAGTAGAGACCGGGTCTCAGGGTCTCAGTGTCTAGAGTAGAGACCAGGTCTCAGGGTCTCAGTGTCTAGAGTAGAGACCGGGTCTCAGGGTCTCAGTGTCTAGAGTAGAGACCGGGTCTCAGTGTCTAGAGTAGAGACCTGGTCTCAGGGTCTCAGTGTCTAGAGTAGAGACCGGGTCTCAGCGTCTAGAGTAGAGACCGGGTCTCAGTGTCTAGAGTAGAGACCGGGTCTCAGTGTCTAGAGTAGAGACCGGGTCTCAGTGTCTCAGTGTCTAGAGTAGAGACCGGGTCTCAGTGTCTAGAGTAGAGACCGGGTCTCAGGGTCTAGAGTAGAGACCAGGTCTCAGTGTCTCAGCGTCTAGAGTAGAGACCGGGTCTCAGGGTCTCAGTGTCTAGAGTAGAGACCAGGTCTCAGTGGCTAGAGTAGAGACCGGGTCTCAGGGTCTAGAGTAGAGACCGGGTCTCAGTGTCTCAGTGTCTAGAGTAGAGACCGGGTCTCAGTGTCTAGAGTAGAGACCGGGTCTCAGTGTCTCAGTGTCTAGAGTAGAGACCGGGTCTCAGGGTCTAGAGTAGAGACCAGGTCTCAGTGTCTCAGCGTCTAGAGTAGAGACCGGGTCTCAGGGTCTCAGTGTCTAGAGTAGAGACCGGGTCTCAGTGTCTCAGTGGCTAGAGTAGAGACCGGGTCTCAGGGTCTAGAGTAGAGACCAGGTCTCAGTGTCTCAGTGTCTCAGTGTCTAGAGTAGAGACCGGGTCTCAGTGTCTAGAGTAGAGACCGGGTCTCAGTGTCTAGAGTAGAGACCAGGTCTCAGTGTCTAGAGTAGAGACCAGGTCTCAGTGTCTCAGCGTCTAGAGTAGAGACCAGGACTCAGTGTCTCAGTGTCTAGAGTAGAGACCAGGTCTCAGTGTCTCAGCATCTAGAGTAGAGACCAGGACTCAGTGTCTCAGTGTCTAGAGTAGAGACCGGGTCTCAGTGTCTCAGCGTCTAGAGTAGAGACCGGGTCTCAGTGTCTAGAGTAGAGACCTGGTCTCAGGGTCTCAGCGTCTAGAGTAGAGACCGGCTCTCAGGGTCTCAGGGTCTAGAGTAGAGACCGGGTCTCAGTGTCTAGAGTAGAGACCGGGTCTCAGTGTCTAGAGTAGAGACCAGGTCTCAGTGGCTAGAGTAGAGACCGGGTCTCAGGGTCTAGAGTAGAGACCGGGTCTCAGTGTCTCAGTGTCTAGAGTAGAGACCGGGTCTCAGGGTCTAGAGTAGAGACCAGGTCTCAGTGTCTCAGCGTCTAGAGTAGAGACCGGGTCTCAGGGTCTCAGTGTCTAGAGTAGAGACCGGGTCTCAGGGTCTAGAGTAGAGACCGGGTCTCAGTGTCTCAGTGTCTAGAGTAGAGACCGGGTCTCAGTGTCTAGAGTAGAGACCGGGTCTCAGTGTCTCAGCGTCTAGAGTAGAGACCGGGTCTCAGGGTCTCAGTGTCTAGAGTAGAGACCAGGTCTCAGTGGCTAGAGTAGAGACCGGGTCTCAGGGTCTAGAGTAGAGACCAGGTCTCAGTGTCTCAGTGTCTCAGTGTCTAGAGTAGAGACCGGGTCTCAGTGTCTAGAGTAGAGACCGGGTCTCAGTGTCTAGAGTAGAGACCAGGTCTCAGTGTCTCAGCGTCTAGAGTAGAGACCGGGTCTCAGTGTCTAGAGTAGAGACCGGGTCTCAGTGTCTAGAGTAGAGACCAGGTCTCAGTGTCTAGAGTAGAGACCGGGTCTCAGTGTCTAGAGTAGAGACCGGGTCTCAGTGTCTAGAGTAGAGACCGGGTCTCAGTGTCTCAGCGTCTAGAGTAGAGACCGGGTCTCAGTGTCTCAGCGTCTAGAGTAGAGACCAGGACTCAGTGTCTCAGTGTCTAGAGTAGAGACCAGGTCTCAGTGTCTCAGCGTCTAGAGTAGAGACCAGGACTCAGTGTCTCAGTGTCTAGAGTAGAGACCGGGTCTCAGTGTCTCAGCGTCTAGAGTAGAGACCGGGTCTCAGTGTCTAGAGTAGAGACCTGGTCTCAGGGTCTCAGCGTCTAGAGTAGAGACCGGGTCTCAGTGTCTAGAGTAGAGACCGGCTCTCAGGGTCTCAGGGTCTAGAGTAGAGACCGGGTCTCAGTGTCTAGAGTAGAGACCGGGTCTCAGTGTCTAGAGTAGAGACCAGGTCTCAGTGTCTAGAGTAGAGACCAGGTCTCAGTGGCTAGAGTAGAGACCGGGTCTCAGGGTCTAGAGTAGAGACCGGGTCTCAGTGTCTCAGTGTCTAGAGTAGAGACCGGGTCTCAGGGTCTAGAGTAGAGACCAGGTCTCAGTGTCTCAGCGTCTAGAGTAGAGACCGGGTCTCAGGGTCTCAGTGTCTAGAGTAGAGACCGGGTCTCAGTGTCTAGAGTAGAGACCGGGTCTCAGTGTCTAGAGTAGAGACCAGGTCTCAGGGTCTCAGTGTCTAGAGTAGAGACCAGGTCTCAGTGGCTAGAGTAGAGACCGGGTCTCAGGGTCTAGAGTAGAGACCGGGTCTCAGTGTCTCAGTGTCTAGAGTAGAGACCGGGTCTCAGTGTCTCAGTGTCTAGAGTAGAGACCGGGTCTCAGGGTCTAGAGTAGAGACCAGGTCTCAGTGTCTCAGCATCTAGAGTAGAGACCGGGTCTCAGGGTCTCAGTGTCTAGAGTAGAGACCAGGTCTCAGTGGCTAGAGTAGAGACCGGGTCTCAGGGTCTAGAGTAGAGACCAGGTCTCAGTGTCTCAGTGTCTCAGTGTCTAGAGTAGAGACCGGGTCTCAGTGTCTAGAGTAGAGACCGGGTCTCAGTGTCTAGAGTAGAGACCAGGTCTCAGTGTCTCAGCGTCTAGAGTAGAGACCAGGTCTCAGTGTCTAGAGTAGAGACCGGGTCTCAGTGTCTAGAGTAGAGACCGGGTCTCAGCGTCTAGAGTAGAGACCAGGTCTCAGTGTCTAGAGTAGAGACCAGGTCTCAGTGTCTCAGTGTCTAGAGTAGAGACCAGGTCTCAGTGTCTCAGTGTCTAGAGTAGAGACCAGGTCTCAGTGTCTCAGTGTCTAGAGTAGAGACCAGGTCTCAGTGTCTCAGTGTCTAGAGTAGAGACCAGGTCTCAGTGTCTCAGCGTCTAGAGTAGAGACCGGGTCTCAGTGTCTCAGCGTCTAGAGTAGAGACCGGGTCTCAGTGTCTCAGCGTCTAGAGTAGAGACCGGGTCTCAGTGTCTCAGCGTCTAGAGTAGAGACCGGGTCTCAGTGTCTCAGCGTCTAGAGTAGAGACCGGGTCTCAGTGTCTCAGCGTCTAGAGTAGAGACCGGGTCTCAGTGTCTCAGTGTCTAGAGTAGAGACCAGATCTCAGGGTCTCAAGGTCTCAGTGTCTAGAGTAGAGACCGGGTCTCAGTGTCAGCGTCTAGAGTAGAGACCGGGTCTCAGTGTCTCAGCGTCTAGAGTAGAGACCGGGTCTCAGTGTCTCAGCGTCTAGAGTAGAGACCGGGTCTCAGTGTCTCAGCGTCTAGAGTAGAGACCGGGTCTCAGTGTCTCAGCGTCTAGAGTAGAGACCGGGTCTCAGTGTCTCAGCGTCTAGAGTAGAGACCGGGTCTCAGTGTCTCAGCGTCTAGAGTAGAGACCGGGTCTCAGTGTCTCAGCGTCTAGAGTAGAGACCGGGTCTCAGTGTCTCAGTGTCTAGAGTAGAGACCAGATCTCAGGGTCTCAAGGTCTCAGTGTCTAGAGTAGAGACCGGGTCTCAGTGTCAGCGTCTAGAGTAGAGACCGGGTCTCAGTGTCTCAGCGTCTAGAGTAGAGACCGGGTCTCAGTGTCTCAGCGTCTAGAGTAGAGACCGGGTCTCAGTGTCTCAGCGTCTAGAGTAGAGACCGGGTCTCAGTGTCTCAGCGTCTAGAGTAGAGACCGGGTCTCAGTGTCTCAGCGTCTAGAGTAGAGACCGGGTCTCAGTGTCTCAGTGTCTAGAGTAGAGACCAGATCTCAGGGTCTCAAGGTCTCAGTGTCTAGAGTAGAGACCGGGTCTCAGTGTCAGCGTCTAGAGTAGAGACCGGGTCTCAGTGTCTCAGCGTCTAGAGTAGAGACCGGGTCTCAGTGTCTCAGCGTCTAGAGTAGAGACCGGGTCTCAGTGTCTCAGCGTCTAGAGTAGAGACCAGATCTCAGGGTCTCAAGGTCTCAGTGTCTAGAGTAGAGACCGGGTCTCAGTGTCAGTGTCTAGAGTAGAGACCGGGTCTCAGTGTCAGTGTCTAGAGTAGAGACCAGGTCTCAGGGTCTCAGCGTCTAGAGTAGAGACCGGGGTTCTGAAGTCATCGCGGCCGCTCCCCCAGGACCGTGCTGCTCCTGCCGCGGTGACGCCACCGCCGCCATCACCGGCACCGCCATCACCGCCATCACCGCCATCACCACCACCACCGCCGCCATCACCGCCATCACCGGCCCCACGCTGGCCGGACTCCGGAACGCCTCTGGTTGTCCCGTTCTACGGAACGCCGGGCGGGACGGGAGTCTTCCTCCTGGCTACCGCCACCTCCACCTCCTCCAACAACGTCTTCTTGTCACGCTTCCCGTCCACTACAAACACCGCCTCCACCTCCTCCACCTCCTCAGTCTTCTTGTCACGCTTCCCATCCACTACATCCACCACCTCCTCCACCTCCACCTCCTCCTCCACCTCCATTTTCTTGTCACGCTTCCCGTCCACTACAACCACCACCTCCTCCTCTGTCTTTTTGTCACGCTTCCCATCCACTACAATCACCACCTCCTCCTCCTCCACCTCCTCCTCCACCTCCATTTTCTTGTCACGCTTCCCGTCCACTACAACCACCACCTCCTCCTCTGTCTTTTTGTCACGCTTCCCATCCACCACCGCCTCCACCTCATCTGTCTTCTTGTCACGCTTCCCATCCACTACAACCACCTCCTCCACCTCCTCCTCCATCTTCTTGTCACGCTTCCCATCCACCACCACCACCGCCTCCACCTCATCTGTCTTCTTGTCACGCTTCCCGTCCACTTCAACCACCGCCTCCACCTCCACCTCGTCTGTCTTCTTCTCACGCTTCCCGTCCACTACAACCACCTCCTCCACCTCCTCCATCTTCTTGCCACGCTTCCCATCCACCACCACCACCGCCACCTCCTCCTCTGTCTTCTTATCACGCTTCCCATCCACCACCACCGCCTCCACCTCATCTGTCTTCTTGTCACGCTTCCCATCCACTACAGCCACCACCTCTTCCATCGTCTTCGCCACCACAAGCACCACCACGTCGTCCGCAGCCGCCGGCAGTCGCCAGGTACCACAACCACCAATCACGAACACCAATCACGAACACCAATCACGAACACCAATCACGAACACCAACCACAACCAAACATTACAACCAACCACAACAACCACAACCACAACAACCACAACCACCACCAACCACAACCACCAACAACCACAACCACAACAACCACAACCACCACCAACCACAACCACCACCAACCACAACCACCACCAACCACCACCACCGACCTCGGCTTGCCAAGCACTCGCTCACAAACTCACTCACTTAATTTGTCAGTCTATAGGTCTCTGTGTGAGTAGTCTGTGGGTCTCTACTGTGTGAGTAGTCTGTGGGTCTCTACTGTGTGAGTAGTCTGTGGGTCTCTACTGTGTGAGTAGTCTGTGGGTCTCTACTGTGTGAGTAGTCTATGGGTCTCTAATGTGAGTAGTCTGTAGGTCTCTACTGTGTGAGTAGTCTGTGGGTCTCTACTGTGTGAGTAGTCTGTGGGTCTCTGTGTGAGTAGTCTATGGGTCTCTACTGTATGAGTAGTCTATGGGTCTCTACTGTGTGAGTAGTCTATGGGTCTCTATGAGTAGTCTATGGGTCTCTACTGTGTGAGCAGTCTATGGGTCTCTACTGTGTGAGTAGTCTGTGGGTCTCTACTGTGTGAGTAGTCTGTGGGTCTCTATTGTGTGAGAAACCTGTGGGTCTCTACTGTGTGAGTAGTCTGTGGGTCTCTACTGTGTGAGTAGTCTGTGGGTCTCTACTGTGTGAGTAGTCTGTGGGTCTCTACTGTGTGAGTAGTCTACGGGTCTCTACTGTGTGAGTAGTCTGTGGGTCTCTACTGTGTGAGTAGTTTATGGGTCTCTACTGTGTGAGTAGTCTGTGGGTCTCTACTGTGTGAGTAGTCTACGGGTCTCTACTGTGTGAGTAGTCTGTGGGTCTCTACTGTGTGAGTAGTCTGTGGGTCTCTACTGTGTGAGTAGTCTGTGGGTCTCTGTGTGAGTAGTCTATGGGTCTCTACTGTATGAGTAGTCTGTGAGTCTCTACTGTGTGAGTAGTCTATGGGTCTCTATGAGTAGTCTATGGGTCTCTATGTTGTTCCTCCAGCCTCTATCTTGTATGGGAAGAAGAGGAGGCGTAAGACCCGGTTCGGATCTCACGGATTGGACTGCAGGAGCCAGGCTGACTCCGGCTCTGTGCTCCCGATCCGGCTGCCGGAACTTGCCTGTGGAGAGCAGCGACTGGGACATGGAGTACTGCAGCAGTGAATGTGTGGTGCAGCACTGCAGGTGAGTGTGTGTGTGTGTGTCTAGACACAGACACACACACACACACTCAGCGGTGAGTGTGTGTGTGTGTGTCTAGACACAGACACACACACACACACTCAGCGGTGAGTGTGTGTGTGTGTGTCTAGACACAGACACACACACACACACTCAGCGGTGAGTGTGTGTGTGTGTGTCTAGACACAGACACACACACACACACTCAGCGGTGAGTGTGTGTGTGTGTGTCTAGACACAGACACACACACACACACTCAGCGGTGAGTGTGTGTGTGTGTCTAGACACAGACACACACACTCAGCGGTGAGTGTGTGTGTGTGTCTAGACACAGACACACACACACACTCAGCGGTGAGTGTGTGTGTGTGTGTCTAGACACAGACACACACACACACACTCAGCGGTGAGTGTGTGTGTGTGTGTCTAGACACAGACACACACACACACTCAGCGGTGAGTGTGTGTGTGTGTGTCTAGACACAGACACACACACACACACTCAGCGGTGAGTGTGTGTCTGTGTCTAGACACAGACACACACACACACTCAGCGGTGAGTGTGTGTGTGTGTGTCTAGACACAGACACACACACACACACTCAGCGGTGAGTGTGTGTGTGTGTGTCTAGACACAGACACACACACACACTCAGCGGTGAGTGTGTGTGTGTGTGTGTCTAGACACAGACACACACACACACACTCAGCGGTGAGTGTGTGTGTGTGTGTCTAGACACAGACACACACACTCACACTCAGCGGTGAGTGTGTGTGTGTGTTTGTGTCTAGACACACACACACACTCAGCGGTGAGTGTGTGTGTGTTTGTGTCTAGACAGACACACACACTCAGCGGTGAGTGTGTGTGTGTGTCTAGACACAGACACACACACTCAGCGGTGAGTGTGTGTGTGTGTGTGTCTAGACACAGACACACACACACACTCAGCGGTGAGTGTGTGTGTGTGTGTTTAGACACACACACACTCAGCGGTGTCTGTGTGGGTCTGTCTAGACACAGACACACGCAGCGGTGTCTGTCAGACACACACAGCGGTGAGTGTGTGTGTCTGTCTATACACAGACACACAGCGGTGTCAGTGGGTCTGTCTAGACAAAGATACACACAGACACACACAGCGGTGTCTGTGTGTGTCTGTGTGGGTCTGTCTAGACACACACAGACACACAGTGGTGTGTGTGTCGCCATGTGTGTGTCTCCGTGTGTGTGTGTGTCTCCGTGTGTGTGTGTGTCTCCGTGTGTGTGTGTGTCTCCGTGTGTGTGTGTGTCTCCGTGTGTGTGTGTTGCTGTGTGTGTGTCTCCGTGTGTGTGTGTAATAGCTGCTCAGTCAGAGGAGGAGTTGGAGACGCTGCTGCTGAGACTGGAGCGTGCCACTAAGAGGTGGGGCCTTACCATCAGCCCCACCAAAACTAAGCACCTGCCTGGGTATTTTGTACCATCGGACACTCCACCCCCACAACTCCCAATCGGTGATGGGGCAGTTGTGGAGAGAGTGGAGAGTTTCCCATACCTGGGCAGTGTGCTTATGACTGGCTCCAGTTTAACAGCAGAGGTCTCACTCCGAATCAGTCGAGCGGCAATATCTTTTCATCGGTTACGTAACGCTGTGTGGAAGCTACCTGGTCTGTCGCTCCGCACTAAGCTTCAGGTCTTCTCGGCCACGGTCATTCCCTCCCTTCTCTACGCTTGCGAAACATAGACCCCCGTAATGGAACATCTTCGCCGGTTAGAAACATTTAGGCTGGCCTGCCTACGATCCATCCTGGGTTTAACCAGACTGGATTGTGTGAGGAGCTCACAAATCCTTGAAAGATCTGGGCAGGGTCCCATCGGTGAGCTCCTCCGGCAGGCAAGGCTGCAATGGCTGGGTCATGTAGCCCGCATGCCCAGCCACCGCATGCCGAAACAGCTTTTGTTTGGCCGGATTTAGGGGGCTAAGCGGGCGCGGCACGGGCTAGAGAAGAGATGGTGTGATGTGGTACAGGAGGACGTGGAGCTGAGTGGACTTGCCGATGACTGGTACCAGCGGTGTCAAGATCGGCCTCTGTGGAGGGAGGCTCGTGAAGGATGCTACTGGGCAGTTGGAGGCAGTCGCCCTCCAACAACAACGGAGGGCGGAGGAGCGACGCTCAGAACAACGAGCGGAGCGCCGGGTGGCTAAAGCACAGCAGGTTGGCACAGTAGGGGGCACAGGTGGTGCATCAGCCACTCATCTCAGTCAGTCGACCCGTGGCACCTGGGTCTGCCCAGTGACCTTCTGCCAGCGGGCGTTTGACACTTCACGTGGCCTCACGGTGCACATAGCCTAGCACAAGCGTCGTGGTGACGTCACCGCCACTTAGTGGCGAATGGCGGTTGTTGTTGTTGTGTGTGTGTCGCCGTGTTGCCATGGCGATGTTTTCTGTCCGCAGGGCGGTGTTCCTGTCGTGGGTATCGGACCGACTCCATCCTGGTGCACGGTGATCCAGACAGAGACCCATAGACTACTCATAGAGACCCATAGACTACTCATAGAGACCCATAGACTACTCATAGAGACCCATAGACTACTCATAGAGACCCATAGACTACTCATAGAGACCCATAGACTACTCATAGAGACCCACAGACTACTCATAGAGACCCATAGACTACTCATAGAGACCCACAGACTACTCATAGAGACCCATAGACTACTCATAGAGACCCATAGACTACTCATAGAGACCCATAGACTACTCATAGAGACCCATGGACTACTCATAGAGACCCATAGACTACTCATAGAGACCCATAGACTCACACAGAGACCCATAGACTACTCATAGAGACCCATAGACTACTCATAGAGACCCGTAGACTACGCATAGAGACCCATGGACTACTCACAGAGACCCATAGACTACTCATAGAGACCCATAGACTACTCATAGAGACCCATAGACTACTCACATAGAGACCCATAGACTACTCATAGAGACCCAGAGACTACTCATAGAGACCCATAGACTACTCATAGAGACCCATAGACTACTCATAGAGACCCATAGACTACTCCATAAAGACCCATAGATTACTCATAGAGACCCATAGACTACTCATAGAGACCCATAGACTACTCATAGAGACACATAGACTACTCATAGAGACCCACGGACTACTCATAGAGACCCACAGACTACTCATAGAGACCCATAGACTACTCATAGAGACCCATAGACTACTCATAGAGACCCATAGACTACTCATAGAGACCCATAGACTACTCATAGAGACCCATAGACTACTCATAGAGACCCATGGACTACTCACAGAGACCCATAGACTACACAGAGACCTATAGACTACTCATAGAGACCCGTAGACTACTCATAGAGACCCATAGACTACTCAGAGACCCATAGACTACTCAGAGACCCATAGACTACTCATAGAGACCCATAGACTACTCACAGAGACCCATAGACTACTCATAGAGACCCGTAGACTACGCATAGAGACCCATAGACTACTCATAGAGACCCATGGACTACTCACAGAGACCCATAGACTACTCATAGAGACCCATGGACTACTCATAGAGACCCATGGACTACTCATAGAGACCCATAGACTACTCATAGAGACCCATAGACTACACACAGAGACCCATAGACTACTCCTAGAGACCCATAGACTACTCATAGAGACCCATAGACTACTCATAGAGACCCGTAGTCTACTCACAGAGACCCATAGACTCCTCATAGAGACCCATAGACTCCTCATAGAGACCCATAGACTACTCATAGAGACCCATAGACTACTCACACAGACCCATAGACTCCTCATAGAGACCCGTAGACTCCTCATAGAGACCCATAGACTCCTCATAGAGACCCATAGACTCCTCATAGAGACCCATAGACTACTCATAGAGACCCATAGACTACTCACACAGTAGAGACCCACAGACTACTCACACAGAGACCCATAGACTACTCACACAGTAGAGACCCACAGACTACTCACACAGTAGAGACCCACAGACTACTCACACAGTAGAGACCCATAGACTACTCACACAGTAGAGACCCACAGACTACTCACACAGTAGAGACCCACAGACTACTCACACAGTAGAGACCCATAGACTATTCTACGGGTCTCTATGTATCTCTACGTGTCTCTGTGCATCTGTAATGTCCACGTGATGATGATGATGAGCGGCTTGGGTTGAGCTGCTATCAGCTGTTGATGGTCAGGGTAGCTCCTGAAACAAGATGCTGCTACTAGTACACAGCAGCTTAGTGGGGTCTCACACAAGCCTGTGGTATAAACTAGTTTAGCCTGTATCTCTATGTATCTCGATGTATCTCTGTGTGTGTCTATGTGTCTATGTGTGTCTCTGTGTGTCTCTGTGGGTCTCTATGGGTCTCTGTGTGTCTCTGTGGGTCTCTGTGGGTCTCTGTGTGCCTCTGTGGGTCTCTGTTTGTCTCTGTGGGTCGCTATGTATGTGGGTCTCTGTGTGTCTCTGTGGGTCTCTGTGTGTCTCTGTGGGTCTCTGTGTGTCTCTGTGGGTCTCTGTGTGTCTCTATGTGTCTCTGTGGGTCTCTGTGGATCTCTGTGGGTCTCTGTGGGTCTCTGTGTGTCTCTATGGGTCTCTGTGTGTCTCTGTGGGTCTCTGTGTGTCTCTGTGGGTCTCTGTGTGTCTCTGTGGATCTCTGTGGGTCTCTGTGGGTCTCTGTGTGTCTCTATGGGTCTCTGTGTGTCTCTGTGGGTCTCTGTGCGTCTCTATGGGTCTCTGTGCGTCTCTATGGGTCTCTATGTGTCTCAGAAACAAGATGCTGCTACTAGTACACAGCAGCTTAGTGGGGTCTCACACAAGCTGTGGTATAAACTAGTTTAGCCTGTATCTCTATGTATCTCGATGTATCTCTGTGTGTGTCTGTGTGTCTCTATGGGTCTCTCTATCTCTATGGGTCTCTGTGTGTCTCTGTGTGTTTCTGTGGGTCGCTATGTATGTGTGTCTCTGTGTGTCTCTGTGGGTCTCTGTGGGTCTCTGTGTGTCTCAATACAAAATACTTATTAAAGCTCACGCCCTACACGAAGACCACTCTGGGTTAGATTCCTGACTGTGTTGAGTGGTGTTCGCTCTGCGCCTGAATTTGTGTGGGTGAGTGTGGGTGTGTGAATATGTGAGGGTGTGTGTGTGTGTGTGGTCTGTCGCTCTGCTTTAGGTCTTCTCGGCCACGGTCATTCCCTCCCTTCTCCCTTCTCTACGCTTACGAAACGTGGACCCCCCCTAATGGAACATCTACGCCGGTTAGAAACATTTAGGCTGGCCTGCCTACGATCCATCCTGGGTTTAATCAGGCTGGATTGTGTGAGGAGCTCACAAATCCTCGAAAGATCTGGGCAAAGTCCCATCGGTGAGCTCCTCCGGTGGGCAAGGCTGAGTTGGCTGGGTCATGTAGCCCGCATGCCAAGCCACCGCATGCCGAAACAGCTTTTGTTCGGCCGGATCGAGGCGGCTAAACGGGCGCGGCACGGGCTAGAGAAGAGATGGAGTGATGTGGTACAGGAGGACGTGGAGCTGAGTGGACTTGGCGATGACCGGCACCAGCGGTGTCAAGATCGGCCTCTGTGGAGGAGGCTCGTGAAGGATGCTACTGGGCAGTTGGAGGCAGTCGCCCTCCAACAACAACGGAGGGCGGAGGAGCGACGCTCAGAACAACGAGCGGAGCGCCGGGTGGCTAAAGCACAGCAGGTTGGCACAGTAGGGGGCACAGGTGGTGCATCAGCCAGTCATCTCAGTCATCTCAGTCAGTCGACCCGTGGCACCTGCTGGGTCTGCCCCGTGACCTCCTGCCAACGGGCGTTCGACACCTCACGTGGCCTCAAGGTGCACATGGCCTGGCACAAGCGTAGTGGTGACGTCACCGCCACTTAGTGACGAATGGCAGTTTTTGTTGATATGTGGGTGTGTGGGTGTGTGAATGTGTGAGGGTGTGTGAATATGTGAGTGTGTGTTAATGTGTGATGGTCTGTGAATGTGTGAGTGTGGGTGATTGTGAGTGTGTGTGTGAGTGTGTGAATGTGTGTGTGTGAGGGTGTGTGAATGTGTGCGGGTGTGTGTGAATGTGTGCGGGTGTGTGAATATGTGGGTGTGTGGTTGTGTGAATGCGTGAGGCTGTGTGTGGATGTGTGTTTGTGGTGGCTGGGTCATGTAGCCCGCATGCCCAGCCACCGCATGCCGAAACAGCTTTTGTTCGGCCGGATTGAGGGGGCTAAACGGGCGCGGCACGGGCTAGAGAAGAGATGGAGTGACGTGGTACGGGAGGACGTGGAGCTGAGTGGACTTGCCGATGACTGGTAGCAGCGGTGTCAAGATCGGCCTCTGTGGAGGAGGCTCGTGAAGGATGCTACACCTAGCCTGGCACAGCAGTCAACCCATGGCACCTGCTGGGTCTGTCCCGTGACCTCCTCCTGCACCTAGCCTGGCACAGCAGTCAACCCATGGCACCTGCTGGGTCTGTCCCGTGACCTCCTCCTGCACCTAGCCTGGCACAGCAGTCAACCCATGGCACCTGCTGGGTCTGTCCCCGTGACCTCCTCCTCATGCACCTAGCCTGGCACAGCAGTCAGCCCATGGCACCTGCTGGGTCTGTTCACGTGACCTCCTCCTCCTGCACCTAGCCTGGCACAGCAGTCAGCCCGCGGCAGCTGCTGGGTCTGTTCACGTGACCACGTCCTCATGCACCTAGCCTGGCACAGCAGTCAGCCCGCGGCAGCTGCTGGGTCTGTCCCGTGACCAGCTCCTCATGCACCTAGCCTGGCACAGCAGTCAACCCACCTCCTGCACCTAGCCTGGCACAGCAGTCAACCCATGGCAACTGCTGGGTCTGTCCCGTGACCTCCTCCTCCTGCACCTAGCCTGGCACAGCAGTCAACCCATGGCACCACCTGGGTCTGTCACGTGACCTGCACCTAGCCTGGCACAGCAGTCAACCCATGGCACCTGCTGGGTATGTCCCGTGACCTCCTCCTGCACCTAGCCTGGCACAGCAGACAACCCATGGCATTTATTGAAAATAAATTGATATTTGTATATAATGTACAGAATAATATTTGGAAACAAAAATTTTAAAGAATAAAATGTGATATTCTTGGTTCTTTCGGTGAAGTCACGTAGAAGGGAAACAATAAAATAATAAAAATAATAGTGTTACATTTACAACGTAAAAAAAACATTTTACGTCGTAAATAGATACTGTACTATAAACATTTAACAAATATATTTTTTCTATATTTTCAAAAAAATATATTACACTTTATAAATATTTTGGAAAAAAAAATATTCGTCAGCCTAGCAGAGGATGGTTTCGATCCATCGACCTCTGGGTTATGGGCCCAGCACGCTTCCGCTGCGCCACTCTGCTGCGCGGAGTCACCGAGCGCCGACGTCGTATTAGAAGACTCCGCAGCTCACGCGCGACTCCTTTACCGAATTTGGCGGGAATTTTCAAACGTTACGTTAAAAAAAGTTTCAATGTTTTACAAAAAAAATTCTGCTTAAATGGGGGGCGCGTTAGATTATCGTGAGGAACATTTACCTCAAATTTAGCGGGAAAAAAACGGCGTTGTGACAAATTGCGGTTACGCCCGTGTGCAACACAAGCAATCATCATCATGTGTGATGATGAAGATGATTGCTTGTGAGAATATTATCGTTTTATATTTTTATTATTTTATTGTTTCCCTTCTACGTGGTGGTGACTTTAGCGAAAGAACCAAGAATATTAATCCCTGCAGTCACGAAAGCTTTAAATCAAAAGCGTGTTTTTTGTTTGCATTCTGACTGCAAGTATTGTGGTTAATGCAGCGACATGAATCCTTGTAAAAAAAAAGGTTTCAGTTTTGTTGCCAAAAAAAGGTGAAAAACCCTTTTATTAACCCTTAGTTACTACTCTAAGCCAAGAATGTGTCCCGCGCGTGACGTCACTCCACACGAGGCCCACCCCTTCCGCGTGACGTCACACCACATGAGGGCCACCCCCCCTCGTGATGTCACTACACACGAGGCCCACCCCCCCCCGCGTGACGTCACTCCACACGAGGCCCACCCCCCCTCGTGATGTCACTCCACACGAGGCCCACCCCCTGCGTGACGTCACTCCACATGAGACCCACCCCCTCCGCGTGACGTCACTCCACGCGAGGCCCACCCCCCGCGTGACGTCACTCCACATGAGGGCCACCCCCCCCCCTCGTGATGTCACTCCACACGAGGCCCACCCCCCCCGCGTGACGTCACTCCACACGAGGCCCACCCCCTACGTGACGTCACTCCACACGAGGCCCACCCCCCCCTGCGTGACGTCACTCCCCACGAGGCCCACCCCCTCCGCGTGACGTCACTCCACACGAGGCCCACCCCCCCTGCGTGACGTCACTCCACATGAGGGCCACCCCCCCCCTCGTGATGTCACTCCATACGAGGCCCACCCCCCCCGCGTGACGTCACTCCACACGAGGCCCACCCCCCCTCGTGATGTCACTCCACACGAGGCCCACCCCCTACGTGACGTCACTCCACACGAGGCCACCCCCCTCCGCGTGACATCACTCCACACGAGGCCCACCCCCTCCGCGTGACGTCACTCCACACGAGGCCCACCCCCCCCCGCGTGACGTCACTCCACACGAGGCCCACCCCCCCCCGCGTGACGTCACTCCACATGAGGCCACCCCCTCCCCCTCCCTCATTAATATTCATGAGCGGGTGGATTTTTACACTCGGGCAGAAGAAGGTCGACTGCAACACAAGCAATCATCATCAGGTGTGAAAACCACAACAAGAAAATTTGAAAAACCCCGTCACTTTTTTCAAATTTGTGACGTCACATCAAAATATAAACATTTGTGGCCATTCGTAAATGACGTCACGCACCTAGGTTTGGGAGGGGGGGGTGTGTCAGACATTTGTGACGATGTGTGACGAGGAGGGGGGGAGTGGGGGGGGTGGGGTTTGAGAAATGTGACGTCACATCAAAATGCGCAACTTTAAATAAATATAGACAAACACGTTCTACTTAATTAAAGAAACTTTTTTTTAAAATAAATGTTTTCTCCTACGACATCGGAGTGCAGCGCCACATTAAATACCCGACTACAATGGCGTCATATTTGAGGGGGGGGCGGGGTCTGATTTTTTGTGACGTCACGTGACGAAGAGAGGGGGGAGGTCAAAAATCGCGTGACGTCATTTATGGACGGCCCCTAATTGGCAATAATTAATCATTATAATTACTCATAGCGACCCATAGACTACTTATAATTAGCAATACTTTGCAATCAATAGGAATAATGAACACGGCAGAACAATGCTGATTTCGCACGATTAATATTCCGTCAAATAATGCAACAATTATCTCGATTTTAAGTGAAAATTCACCACAGTTTTATTTTACGCACTTAATAGATGCTGTATGTTAATTATTTTACAACAGAATCATATTTTATTTTTTTAAAAAACGTACCATTAAATATACCCGGGTAATCGATTGCATCGATTTACCTCTTTAAGATTCTACAGTAATCGATTCCTCCCGTAGAGAACGCGTTTTTTTTGCCGCCGTCGACGTGCAATCGGATTACCGCGTCTACGCGGAATCGATGGCTGCGGGATAAAGGAATCGATTCTCGGTGCCATCATTGACACAGGGTGGAGGGTGTCCAGATGCAGCTGCAGCGGTGGTGGTGGTAGTGGTGGTGGTGTGGTAGTGGTGTTGTGGTATTGTGGTAGTGGTGTTGTAGTGGTGGTGGTAGTAGTGGTGGTGGTAGTAGTGGTGGTGGTGTGGTATTGTGGTAGTGTTGGTGGTAGTGTGGTAGTGGTGTGGTATTGTGGTAGTGTGGTATTGTGGTAGTGGTGTTGTAGTGGTGTTGTAGTGGTGGTAGTGGTGGTGGTGGTAGTGGTGTGGTAGTGGTGTGGTAGTAGTGTGGTAGTGGTGGTGGTAGTGTTGTAGTGTGGTGGTAGTGGTGTGGTAGTAGTGTGGTAGTGGTAGTAGTAGTGGTGTGGTAGTGGTAGTAGTGGTAGTGGTGGTGGTAGTGTGGTAGTGGTGGTAGTGTTGTAGTGTGGTGGTAGTAGTGGTGTGGTAGTGGTGGTATTGTTGTAGTGTGGTGGTGGTAGTGGTGGTGGTAGTGTGGTAGTGGTGGTGGTAGTGGTGTGGTAGTAGTGTGGTAGTGGTGTGGTAGTGGTGGTGGTAGTGGTGGTAGTGGTGTGGTAGTAGTGTGGTAGTGGTGTGGTAGCAGCGGTAGTAGTGGTAGTGTGGTAGTGTGGTAGTAGTGGCGGTAGTGTGGTAGTAGTGTGGTAGTAGTAGTAGCAGCGGTAGTGGTGGTAGTAGTGGTGGTAGTAGTAGCAGTGGTAGCAGTGGTAGTAGTAGTGGTAGTAGCAGTGGTAGTAGTAGTGGTAGTAGTGGTAGTAGTAGTGGTAGTAGCAGTAGTAGTGGTAGTAGTGGTAGTAGCAGTAGTAGTGGTAGTAGCAGTGGTAGTAGTGGTGGGTGGTGGTAGCAGTGGTAGTAGCATCAGCATCACCAGCAGCATCAGCATCATCAGCAGCATCATCATCAGTAGCATCATCAGCAGCATCATCATCAGCAACATCATCATCAGCAACATTATCAACAGCATCATCATCAACAGCATCATCATCAACAGCATCATCATCAGCAGCATCATCATCAGCAGGGCGTCGTGAGCAGTGAGCCATGTCCGGCACGCTGACCCGGCTGCTGGGACAGCTGCACGCCTCGCTGGATCCCCGGGGCGACGTTTCGGGAGCGACCCCTTCCTCGGTGGCCTCGGAGCTGAGGGCAGAGGTCACGGGATCACGCGTGGCCGACCGAGCACGTGAGAGCGAGGGCTGGGGCACTGCACTCCATTTATTCGTTCGCCGAGTCACTCCGTCATTCATTCACTCACTCATTCAGCCTTTCAGCCATTCACTGATTCATTCACTCATTCATTGAGCCATTCACTGATTCAGTCTTTCAGCCATTCACTCATTCAGCCTTTCAGCCATTCACTGATTCATTCACTCATTCATTGAGCCATTCACTCATTCAGTCTTTCAGCCATTCACTCATTCAGCCTTTCAGCCATTCACTGATTCATTCACTCATTCATTGAGCCATTCACTCATTCAATCTTTCAGCCATTCACTGATTCAGCCTTTCAGCCATTCACTGATTCATTGAGCCATTCACTCATTCAGTCGTTCAGCCATTCACTGATTAATTCTCTCGTTCATTCAGCCATTCACTCATTCAGCCTTTCAGCCAATCACTGATTCATTCACTCATTCATTCAGCCATTCGCTCATTCAGTCTTTCAGCCATTAACTGATTCATTCACACATTCATTCAGCCATTCACTCATTCAGTCTTTCAGCCATTCACTGATTCATTCACTGATTCGTTCAGTCAGCCATTCACTCATTCAGCCATTCACTGATTCATTCTCTCGTTCAGTCTTTCACCAATTCATTCACTCAGTCGTTCAGCCATTCACTGATTCGTTCAGTCAGCCATTCACTCATTCAGCCTTTCAGCCAATCACTGATTCATTCACTCATTCATTCAGCCATTCACTCATTCAGCCTTTCAGCCAATTACTGATTCAGCCTTTCAGCCATTCACTGATTCATTCATTCACCCATTCACTCATTCAGTCTTTCAGCCATTCACTGATTCATTCCCTGATTCATTGAGCCATTCACTCATTCAGTATTTCAGCCATTCACTGATTCATTCTCTCGTTCAGTCTTTCACCGATTCATTCACTCAGCCATTCACTGATTCGTTCAGTCAGCCATTCACTCATTCAGTCTTTCAGCCATTCACTGATTCATTAACTCATTCATTCAGCCATTCACTCATTCAGTCTTTCAGACATTCACTGATTCATTCACTCATTCATTCAGCCATTCACTCATTCAGTCTTTCAGCCATTCACTGATTCATTCACTCATTTAGTCAGCCATTCACTCATTTAGTCTTTCAGCCATTCACTGGTTCATTCTCTCGTTCAGTCTTTCACCTATTCATTCACTCAGTCGTTCAGCCATTCACTGATTCGTTCAGTCAGCCATTCACTCATTCAGTCTTTCAGCCATTCACTGATTCATTCTCTCATTCAGTCTTTCCTCCGATTTATTCACTCAGCCATTCACTGATTCGTTCAGTCAGCCATTCACTCATTCACTCATTCAGCCATTCACTGATTCATTCTCTCGTTCAGTCTTTCACCAATTCATTCACTCAGTCGTTCAGCCATTCACTGATTCGTTCAGTCAGCCATTCACTCATTCAGCCTTTCAGCCAATCACTGATGCATTCACTCATTCATTCAGCCATTCACTCATTCAGTCTTTCAGCCATTCACTCATTCAGTCTTTCAGTTATTCGCTGATTAATTCACTCGTTCATTCAGCCATTCACTCATTCAGTCTTTCAGCCATTCACTGATTAATTCTCTCATTCATTCAGCCATTCACTCATTCAGTTTTTCAGCCATTCACTCATTCAGTCTGAGATGGGGAGGGTGGTGGGGGGAGGTTGAGGTGGGGAGGGTGGGGGGAAGGTCTGGGGAAGGTGGGGGGAAGGTGAGGTGGGGAGGGTGGGGGGAAGGTGGGGGGAAGGTGAGGTGGGGAGGGTGGGGGGAAGGTGAGGTGGGGAGGGTGGGGGGAAGGTGAGGTGGGGAGGGTGGGGGGAAGGTGAGGTGGGGGGAAGGTGGGGGGAAGGTGAGGTGGGGGGAAGGTGGGGGGAAGGTGCGATGGGGAGGTGGTGGTGGTGGGGTGGTGGTGGTGGTGGTGGGGTGGTGGTGGTAGTGGGGTGGTGATGGTGGTTGGTGGTGGTGGTGGGGTGGTGGTAGTGGGGTGGTGGTGGTAGTGGGGTGGTGATGGTGGTGGTGGTGGGGTGGGGGTGGGGTGGTGGTGGGGTGGTGGTGGTGGTGGTGGTGGTGGGGTGGTGATGGTGGTGGTGGGGGGGTGGGGGGGGGGTGGGTGTTGGTGGGGGGGGGTGGTGGGTGGTGGGGGTGGGTGGGGGTGGTGGTGGGTGGTGGTGGGTGGGGGTGGTGGTGGGGGTTGGTGGTGGTTGGTGGTGGTGGTGGTGGTGGGGTGGTGGTGGTGGTGGTTGGTGGTGGTGGTGGGGTGGTGCTGGTGGTGGTGGTGGGGTGGTGGTGGGGGGGTGGTGGTGGGGTGGTGGTGGGGTGGTGGTGGGGTGGTGGTGGGGTGGTGGTGGGGTGGTGGTGGTGGGGTGGTGGTGGGGTGGTGGTGGTGGGGGGGTGGTGGTGGTGGTGGTGGGGTGGTGGTGGGGTGGTGGTGGTGGGGTGGTGGTGGGGTGGTGGTGGTGGTGGTGGTGATGATGGTGGTGGTGATGATGGTGGTGGTTAACTCCCCCCCTTGTGCTTTCTCCCCCCCCCCGTGCCCCCGTGTTTCCCAGTGGAGTTCTGCTCCTGCATCTTCGACGGGCAGCACGGCCTGCCGGCGTTCCTGCGGCGAGCCCAGGGACACGACGAGGTGGGTCGCTGGGCCGCTGGGCCTCTGGTGGCTGGGCCGCTGGTCCCTGGCTGGTGGTCCCTGGTCGCTGGGCCGCTGGGCCTCTGGTGGCTGGGCCGCTGGGCCGCTGGGCCTCTGGTGGCTGGGCCGCTGGGCCGCTGGGCCTCTGGTGGCTGGGCCGCTGGTCCCTGGCTGGTGGTCCCTGGTCGCTGGGCCGCTGGGCCTCTGGTGGCTGGGCCGCTGGGCCGCTGGGCCTCTGGTGGCTGGGCCGCTGGGCCGCTGGGCCTCTGGTGGCTGGGCCGCTGGGCCGCTGGGCCGCTGGGCCGCTGGGCCGCTGGGCCGCTGGGTCGCTGGGCCGCTGGGCCTCTGGTGGCTGGGCCGCTGGGCCTCTGGTGGCTGGGCCGCTGGGCCTCTGGTCGCTGGGTCGCTGGGCCGCTGGGCCTCTGGTGGCTGAGCCGCTGGGCCTCTGGTGGCTGGGTCGCTGGGCCGCTGGGCCTCTGGTGGCTGGGCCGCTGGGCCTCTGGTGGCTGGGCCGCTGGGCCACTGGGCCGCTGGTGGCTGGTGGCTGGTGGCTGGTGGCTGGGGGCTGGTGGCTGGTGGCTGGGCGCTGGTAGCTGGTGGCTGGTGGCTGGTGGCTGGGTCGCTGGTGGCTGGTGGCTGGGTCGCTGGTGGCTGGTGGCTGGTGGCTGGGCGCTGGTTGCTGGTGGCTGGTGGCTGGGTCGCTGGTGGCTGGTGGCTGGGCTGCTGGGCTGCTGGTGGCTGGTGGCTGGGCGCTGGTGGCGGTCCCTGGGCCACAGAGGAAGGGCCACCGTCTCCCTCCCCACTATCATCCCAACATCATCCCAACGTCATCCCAACTTCATCTCAACATCATCGCAACATCATCACATCATCACAATATCATCACAACATCATCCGCAACATCATCCGCAACATCATCACAACATCATCCGCAACATCATCCCAACGTCATCACAGCATCATCCCAACATCATCACAACATCATCCCAACATCATCCCAACATCATCCCAACATCATTACAACATCATCCCAACATCATCCGCAACATCATCACAACATCATCGCAACATCATCCCAACATCATCCCAACATCATCCCAACATCATCACAACATCATCCCAACATCATCCCAACATCATCCCAATATCATCCCAACATCATCCCAATATCATCCCATTCTCATCGCAATATCATCGCAACATCATCCGCAACATCATCCGCAACATCATCGCAACATCATCTCAACATCATCCCAATCTCATTCCAACATCATCCGCAACATCATCCGCAACATCATCCAACATCATCCGCAACATCATCCCAACATCATCACAACATCATCCGCAACATCATCACAATATCATCACAACATCATCACAATATCATCACAACATCATCCCAACATCATCCGCAACATCATCACAACATCATCCGCAACATCATCCCAACGTCATCACAACGTCATCACAACATCATCACAACATCATCACAACATCATCCGCTACATCGCAACATCATCCCAACATCATCCGCAACATCATCCGCAACATCATCCCAACATCATCACAATATCATCACAACATCATCACAACATCATCCCAACATCATCCCAACATCATCACAACATCATCACAACATCATCCCAACATCATCCGCAACATCATCCCAACATCATCCGCAACATCATCACAATTCACAACATCATCACAACATCATCCCAACATCATCCCAACATCATCACAACATCATCACAACATCATCCCAACATCATCCGGAACATCATCCCAACATCATCCGCAACATCATCACAATATCATCCGCAACATCATCCCAACGTCATCACAACATCATCCGCAACATCATCACAACATCATCCGCAACATCATCCCAACATCATCCCAACATCATCGCAACATCATCCGCAACATCATCCCAACATCATCACAATATCATCACAACATCATCACAACATCATCCCAACATCATCCCAACATCATCCGCAACATCATCACAACATCATCTCAACATCATCGCAACAACATCGCAACATCATCGCAACATCATCCCAACATCATCCGCAACATCATCTGCAACATCATCCCAACATCATCACAACATCATCTCAACATCATCCCAATCTCATTCCAACATCATCCGCAACATCATCCGCAACATCATCCGCAACATCATCGCAACATCATCCGCAACATCATCCCAACATCATCACAACATCATCACAATATCATTACAACATCATCACAACATCATCCCAACATCATCCCAACATCATCACAACATCATCACAACATCATCCCAACATCATCCGCAACATCATCCCAACATCATCCGCAACATCATCACAATATCATCCGCAACATCATCCCAACGTCATCACAACATCATCCGCAACATCATCCGCAACATCATCACAACATCATCCCAACATCATCCCAACATCATCGCAACATCATCGCAACATCATCGCAACATCATCGCAACATCATCGCAACATCATCGCAACATCATTCGCAACATCATCTGCAACATCATCTGCAACATCATCCCAACATCATCCCAACATCATCACAACATCATCTCAACATCATCCCAATCTCATCACAACATCATCACAATATCATCACAACATCATCCCAACATGATCCGCAACATCATCCCAACATGATCCGCAACATCATCACAACATCATCCCAACATCATCCGCAACATCATCCCAACATCATCCGCAACATCATCCCAATCTCATCCCAACATCATCCGCAACATCATCCGCAACATCATCACAACATCATCCGCAACATCATCCGCAACATCATCCCAACATCATCCCAACATCATCACAACATCATCACAATATCATCACAACATCATCCGCAACATCATCCCAACATCATCCGCAACATCATCCGCAACATCATCACAATATCATCCGCAACATCATCCCAACGTCATCACAACATCATCCGCAACATCATCACAACATCATCCGCAACATCATCCCAACGTCATCCGCAACATCATCCGCAACATCATCCGCAACATCATCCGCAACATCATCTCAACATCATCTCAACATCATCCCAATCTCATTCCAACATCATCACAACATCATCACAACATCATCACAACGTCATCACAACGTCATCACAACGTCATCCCAACGTCATCACAACGTCATCACAACATCATCACAACATCATCACAACATCATCACAACATCATCCCGACGGCGTCCTCCTCCTCATCCTCCCCCTCCTCCTCCTCCTCCTCCTCGCCTGCACAGCTGAAGGAGGTGCGCGAAGAGGTGCTGAGGGGTCTGCGCGAGTTCCTGGAGACGGTCGGCAGCCATGCCAAGGACTACACCGGAGCCATCAAGGTGCACAGCGCCGTCGTCAAAGCCACTAGCTTCACCACCACCGTCATCACCACCACCAGCGTCACCACCACCACCGTCACCACCACCAGCGTCACCACCACCATCATCACCACCACCATCACCACCACCGTCACCACCACCGTCACCATCATCACCACCACCACCACCGTCACCACCACCATCATCACCACCGTCATCACCACCACCATCATCACCACCACCGTCACCATCATCACCACCGTCACCACCACCATCATCACCACCACCATCACCACCACTGTCACCACCACCGTCACCATCATCACCACCACCAGCGTCACCACCACCATCATCACCACCACCAGCGTCACCACCACCGTCACCACCGTCACCACCGTCACCGCCTTCACCGCCTTCACCACCTTCACCACCTTCACCACCTTCACCACTGTCACCACTGTCATCACCGTCACCACCGTCATCACCGTCATCACCGTCACCACTGTCATCACCGTCACCACCGTCATCACCGTCACCACCGTCATCACCGTCATCACCGTCACCACCGTCATCACCGTCACCACCGTCATCACCGTCATCACCGTCACCACCGTCATCACCGTCACCACCGTCATCACTGTCATCACCGTCACCTACTTCACCACTGTCATCACCGTCACCACCTTCACCACCATCATCACCGTCATCGCCGTTACCACCTTCACCGTCACCACCGTCACCACCGTCACCACCTTCACCACCGTCACCACCTTCGTCACCTTCACCACCGTCACCACCGTCACCACCTTCACCACCGTCACCACCTTCACCACCGTCAAAACCGTCAAAACCATCACCACCGTCACCACCGTCATCACCGTCATCACCTTCACCGTCACCACCGTCATCACCGTCATCACCGTCATCACCGTCACCACCTTCACCGTCACCACTGTCACCGCCATCACCACCTTCACCACCGTTATCACCGTCATCACCGTCACCACCGTCATCACCGTCACCACCGTCATCACCTTTACCACCGTCACCTTCACCACTGTCATCACCGTCACCTACTTCACCACTGTCATCACCGTCACCACCGTCATCACTGTCATCACCGTCACCTACTTCACCACTGTCATCACCGTCACCACCTTCACCACCACCATCATCACCGTCATCGCCGTTACCGTCACCAGCGTCACCACCTTCACCACCTTCACCACCTTCAACGCCGTCACCACCGTCACCACCGTCACCACCTTTGTCACCGTCACCACCTTCGTCACCGTCACCACCTTCACCACCGTCACCACCGTCACCACCTTCACCACCGTCACCACCTTCACCACCGTCAAAACCGTCAAAACCATCACCACCGTCACCACCGTCATCACCGTCATCACCTTCACCACCGTCATCACCGTCACCACCGTCATCACCGTCATCACCGTCACCACCTTCACCACCTTCACCACCGTCACCACCTTCACCACCGTCACCACCGTTATCACCGTCACCACCGTCACCACCTTCACCACCTTCACCACCGTCACCACCTTCACCACCGTCACCACCGTCACCACCGTCACCACCTTTGTCACCGTCACCACCTTCGTCACCGTCACCACCTTCACCACCGTCACCACCGTCACCACCTTCACCACCGTTATCACCGTCACCACCGTCACCACCTTCACCACCTTCACCACCGTCACCACCTTCACCACCGTCACCACCGTCACCACCGTCACCACCTTTGTCACCGTCACCACCTTCGTCACCGTCACCACCTTCACCACCGTCACCACCGTCACCACCTTCACCACCATCACCACCTTCACCACCGTCAAAACCGTCAAAACCATCACCACCGTCACCACCGTCATCACCGTCATCACCTTCACCACCGTCATCACCGTCACCACCGTCATCACCGTCATCACCTTCACCGTCACCACTGTCACCGCCATCACCACCTTCACCACCGTTATCACCGTCACCACCTTCACCACCTTCACCACCTTCACCTTCACCACCGTCACCTTCACCACCTTCACCAGCTTCACCACCTTCATCGTCATCATCGTCACCATCGTCACCACCGTCATCACCTTCACCATCGTCATCACCATCACCACCTTCGTCACCACCGTCACCACCTTCACCCTCACCACCGTCACCACCGTCACCACCTTCACCGTCACCACCGTCACCACCTTCACCACCTTCACCGCCGTCACCACTTTCATCACCGTCATCGCCGTTACCGTCACCACCGTCACCACCGTCATCACCGTCACCACCTTCACCACCGTCACCACCGTCACCACCGTCACCACCTTTGTCACCGTCACCACCTTCGTCACCGTCACCACCTTCACCACCGTCACCACCGTCACCACCTTCACCACCGTCACCACCTTCACCACCGTCAAAACCGTCAAAACCATCACCACCGTCACCACCGTCATCACCGTCATCACCTTCACCACCGTCATCACCGTCATCACCGTCACCACCGTCATCACCGTCACCACCTTCACCTTCACCACCGTTATCACCGTCACCACCGTCACCACCTTCACCACCTTCACCACCGTCACCACCTTCACCACCGTCACCACCGTCACCACCGTCACCACCTTTGTCACCGTCACCACCTTCGTCACCGTCACCACCTTCACCACCGTCACCACCGTCACCACCTTCACCACCATCACCACCTTCACCACCGTCAAAACCGTCAAAACCATCACCACCGTCACCACCGTCATCACCGTCATCACCTTCACCACCGTCATCACCGTCACCACCGTCACCACCGTCATCACCGTCATCACCTTCACCGTCACCACTGTCACCGCCATCACCACCTTCACCACCGTTATCACCGTCACCACCTTCACCACCTTCACCACCTTCACCTTCACCACCGTCACCTTCACCACCTTCACCAGCTTCACCACCTTCATCGTCATCATCGTCACCATCGTCACCACCGTCATCACCTTCACCATCGTCATCACCGTCACCACCTTCGTCACCACCGTCACCACCTTCACCCTCACCACCGTCACCACCGTCACCACCTTCACCGTCACCACCGTCACCACCTTCACCACCTTCACCGCCGTCACCACTTTCATCACTTTCACCACCGTCACCGTCACCACCATCACCACCGTCATCACCGTCACCACCTTCACCACCGTCACCACCTTCACCACCGTCACCACCGTCACCACCGTCACCACTAAGATTACCCATAGACTCACATTACCCATAGACTCACACTGCCCATAGACTCGCATTACCCGTAGACTCACACTACCCACAGACTCACATTACCCATAGACTCACACTACCCATAGACTCACACTACCCATAGATTCACATTACCCATAGACTCACACTACCCATAGACTCACACTACCCATAGACTCACATTACCCATAGACTCACATTACCCATAGACTCACATTACCCGTAGACTCACATTACCCATAGACTCACATTACCCATAGACTCACATTACCCATAGACTCACACTACCCATAGACTCACATTACCCATAGACTCACATTACCCATAGACTAAAACTACCCATAGACTCACATTGCCCATAGACTCACATTACCCATAGACTCACATTACCCATAGACTCACATTACCCATAGACTCACACTACCCATAGACTCACATTACCCATAGACTCACATTACCCATAGACTAAAACTACCCATAGACTCACATTGCCCATAGACTCACATTACCCATAGACTCACATTACCCATAGACTCACACTACCCATAGACTCACATTGCCCATAGACTAAAACTACCCACAGACTCACATTACCCACAGACTCACACTACCCATAGACTCACATTGCCCATAGACTCACATTACCCACAGACTCACACTACCCATAGACTCACATTACCCATAGACTCACATTACCCACAGACTCACATTACCCATAGACTCACATTACCCACAGACTCACATTACCCATAGACTCACACTACCCATAGACTCGCATTACCCACAGACTCACACTACCCATAGACTCACATTACCCATAGACTCACATTACCCATAGACTCACATTGTCCATAGACTCACATTACCCATAGACTCACATTGCCCATAGACTCACACTACCCATAGACTCACATTACCCACAGACTCACGTTACCTGTAGACTCACACTACCCATAGACTCACATTGCCCATAGACTCACATTACCCACAGACTCACATTACCCATAGACTCACACTACCCATAGACTCACATTGCCCATAGACTCACATTACCCATAGACTAACACTACCCATAGACTCACATTACCCATAGACTCACACTGCCCATAGACTCACATTACCCACAGACTCACATTACCCGTAGACTCACATTACCCATAGACTCACATTGCCCACAGACTCACATTACCCATAGACTCACATTACCCGTAGACTCACATTGCCCACAGACTCACATTGCCCACAGACTCACATTACCCATAGACTCACATTACCCATAGACTCACACTACCCATAGACTCACATTACCCATAGACTCACACTGCCCATAGACTCACATTACCCACAGACTCACATTACCCGTAGACTCACATTACCCATAGACTCACATTGCCCACAGACTCACATTACCCATAGACTCACATTACCCGTAGACTCACATTGCCCACAGACTCACATTGCCCACAGACTCACATTACCCATAGACTCACATTACCCATAGACTCACACTACCCATAGACTCACACTACCCATAGACTCACACTACCCATAGACTCACATTACCCATAGACTCACATTACCCATAGACTCACATTACCCATAGATTAACACTACCCATAGACTCACATTACCCACAGACTCACATTACCCACAGACTCACATTACCCACAGACTCACATTACCCATAGACTCACATTACCTGTAGACTCACATTACCCATAGACTCAACACTACCCACAGACTCACGCTGCGCACAGACTCACGCTGAGCACACAGAGACATCAGACCTGTTTGCTTGCAGGAGATTTGTGTACTTTGCTACAGCAAGGAAAGAGCCGCAAAGACTAAAGTCTGCGCCTTGGAGCTGCTGATCAAGGTACGGGTGGGCGCAGAGACACCGCACGCACAGAGACACCGCACGCACACAGACACCGCACGCACACAGAGACACTGCACACACACAGACACCGCACGCACAGAGACACCGCACGCACAGAGACACCGCGCGCACACAGACACCGCACACACACAGAGACACCGCACAGAGAGAGACCGCGCGCACACACAGACACCGCACACACACAGAGACACTGCACACACACAGAGACACCGCACACACACAGAGACACCGCACACACAGAGACACCGCACACACACAGACACCGCACACACAGAGACACCGCACGCACACAGACACCGCGCGCACAGAGACACCGCACACACACAGACACCGCACACACATAGACACCGCACACACACAGACACCGCACACACACAGACACCGCACACACACAGACACCGCACACACACAGAGACACCGCACACACACAGAGACACCGCAGGGAGACACCGCACACACACAGAGACACCGCACACACACAGACACCGCGCCTGTCGTGTTTGTGTGTGTGTGTGTATCGTGCGTTTGTTGTTTGTAACGTTCTCTATGCCGTGACCCGCACCCCCTTAACCGCACCATCCATGACATGAAGAGCACCACAGCTGGTCGGAAATTCCTCCTTGCTGCATCACAGCTGAAACGCAACGATTCTCGATGATTCTCATACCTCCTCCTCCTTGACCTCCTCCTCCTCCTCCACCTCCTCCACCTCCTCCACCTCCTCCCTAGGCTGTCCACGTCGGCTCGGTCTCGTCGCACGGTCAGAACTTGGGCGTCCAGAGCCTCTTCAACAAGTTCTACGGCGAACTGGCGAGCAAAAGCAAAGTGTCCGACACGGGTGAGGTGGCCGGGAGGAGGGCGGAATCCGGTACTAGGGGATCCACACGGATCTCCGGGTCTTGAATTCGTACGGCAGGGAGGAGGGCTGAATCTGGTACTAGGGGATCCACGCGGATCTCCGGGTCTTGAATTCGTACCGCAGGGAGGAGGGGTATCAGGTACTAGGGGATCAACACGGATCTCCGGATCTTGAATTCGTACCGCAGGAAGGAGGGCTGAATCTGGTACTAGGGGATCCACACGGATCTCCGGGTCTTGAATTCGTACCGCAGGGAGGAGGGGTATCAGGTACTACGGGATCAACACGGATCTCCGGTTCTTGAATTCGTACGGCAGGGAGGAGGGCTGAATCCGGTACTAGGGGATCAACATGGATCTCCGGATCTTGAATTCGTACGGCAGGGAGGAGGGCGGAATCTGTTACTAGGGGATCCACACGGATCTCCGGATCTTGAATTCGTACTGCAAGGAGGCCGGAATCCAGTACTAGGGGATCCACATGGATCTACGGATCTTGAATTCGTACTGCAGGGAGGAGCGGAATCCGGTACTAGGGGATCCACACGGATCTCCGGATCTTGAATTGGTACGACACGGAGGGCTGAATCTGGTACTAGGGGATCCACACGGATCTCCGGATCTTGAATTCGTACCGCAGGGAGGAGGGCTGAATCTGGTACTAGGAGATCAACACGGATCTCCGGGTCTTGAATTCGTACGGCAGGGAGGAGGGCTGAATCTGGTACGAGGGGATCAACACGGATCTCCGGGTCTTGAATTTGTACCGCAGGGAGGAGGGGTATCAGGTACTAGGGGATCCACACGGATCTCCGGATCTTGAATTCGTACCGCAGGGAGGGCTGAATCCGGTACTAGGGGATCAACACGGATCTCCGGGTCTTGAATTCGTATCACAGGGAGGAGGGGTATCAGGTACTAGGGGATCCACACGGATCTCCGGATCTTGAATTCGTACCACAGGGAGGGCTGAATCCGTTACTAGGGGATCCACACGGATCTCCGGATCTTGAATTCGTACTGCAGGGAGGAGCGGAATCAGGTACTAGGGGATCCACACGGATCTCCGGATCTTGAATTGGTACAGCACGGAGGGCTGAATCTGGTACTAGGGGATCCACACGGATCTCCGGATCTTGAATTCGTACGGCCAGGAGGGCTGAATCTGGTACTAGGGGATCCACACGGATCTCCGGATCTTTAATTCATATGGCAGGAAAGGCTGCATATGGTACTAGGGGATCAACACGGATCTCCGGATCTTGAATTCGTACCGCAGGAAGGAGGGCTGAATCTGGTACTAGGGGATCCACACGGATCTCCGGGTCTTGAATTCGTACCGCAGGAAGGAGGGCTGAATCTGGTACTAGGGGATCCACACGGATCTACGGATCTTGAATTCGTACAGCAGGAAAGGGTGAATCTGGTACTAGGGGATCAACACGGATCTACGGGTCTTGAATTCGTACGGCAGGGAGGAGAGGAATCTGGTACTAGGGGATCCACACGGATCTCCGGATCTTGAATTCGTACCGCAGGGAGGAGAGGTATCTGGTACTGTCACGCGATCTCCATAATGCTATTGAGACATCAAAGTCAGAAGTGTTGAGTCTATGGTGCAGTGTTGAGTCTATGGTGCAGTGTTGAGTCTATGGTGCAGGGTTGAGTCTGTGGTGCAGTGTTGAGTCTATGGTGCAGTGTTGAGTTTATGGGCAGTGTTGAGTCTATGGTGCAGTGTTGAGTCTATGGGGCAGTGTTGAGTCTATGGTGCAGTGTTGAGTCTATGGTGCAGTGCTGAGTCTATGGTGCAGTGTTGAGTCTATGGTGCAGTGTTGAGTCTATGGTGCAGTGTTGAGTCTATGGTGCAGTGTTGAGTCTATGGTGCAGTGTTGAGTTTATGGGCAGTGTTGAGTCTATGGTGCAGTGTTGAGTCTATGGGGCAGTGTTGAGTCTATGGTGCAGTGTTGAGTCTATGGTGCAGTGCTGAGTCTATGGTGCAGTGTTGAGTCTATGGTGCAGTGTTGAGTCTATGGTGCAGTATTGAGTCTATGGTGCAGTGTTGAGTCTGTGGTGTAGTGTTGAGTCTGTGGTGCAGTGTTGAGTCTATGGTGCAGTGTTGAGTCTATGGGCAGTGTTGAGTCTATGGTGCTGTGTTGAGTCTATGGTGCAGTGTTGAGTCTATGGTGCAGTGTTGAGTCTGTGGTGCAGTGTTGAGTCTATGGTGAAGTGTTGAGTCTATGGGCAGTGTTGAGTCTATGGTGCAGTGTTGAGTCTATGGGCAGTGTTGAGTCTATGGTGAAGTGTTGAGTCTATGGTGCAGTGTTGAGTCTATGGTGCAGTGTTGAGTCTATGGTGCAGTGTTGAGTCTATGGTGCAGTGTTGAGTCTATGGTGCAGTGTTGAGTCTATGGTGCAGTGTTGAGTCTATGGTGCAGTGTTGAGTCTATGGGCAGTGTTGAGTCTATGGTGCAGTGTTGAGTATATGGTGCAGTGTTGAGTCTATGGTGCAGTGTTGAGTCTATGGTGCAGTGTTGAGTCTATGGTGCAGTGTTGAGTCTATGGTGCAGTGTTGAGTCTATGGTGCAGTGTTGAGTCTATGGTGCAGTGTTGAGTCTATGGGCAGTGTTGAGGCTATGGTGCAGTGTTGAGTCTATGGTGCAGTGTTGAGTCTATGGGCAGTGTTGAGTCTATGGTGCAGTGTTGAGTCTATGGTGCAATGTTGAGTCTATGGTGCAGTGTTGAGTCTATGGTGCAGTGTTGAGTCTATGGTGCAGTGTTGAGTCTATGGTGCAGTGTTGAGTCTATGGTGCAGTGTTGAGTCTATGGTGCAGTGTTGAGTCTATGGTGCAGTGTTGAGTCTATGGGCAGTGTTGAGTCTATGGTGCAGTGTTGAGTCTATGGTGCAATGTTGAGTCTATGGTGCAGTGTTGAGTCTATAGTGCAGTGTTGAGTCTATGGTGCAGTGTTGAGTCTATGGGGCAGTGTTGAGTCTATGGTGCAGTGTTGAGTCTATGGGGCAGTGTTGAGTCTACGGTGCAGGGTTGAGTCTACGGTGCAGTGTTGAGTCTACGATGCAGTGTTGAGTCTATGGTGCAGTGTTGAGTCTGTGGTGCAGTGCTGAGTCTATGGTGCAGTGTTGAGTCTACGGTGCAGCAATCGAACCCACGACCTCCTGCGTACCAGGCGAGGTAGTCAACATCTCCTAGCCAGCGTGATGATGATGATGATGAGAGAGAGACGCAGACTCCAAATCCACAGCAGCAGCAGGCGTCGTCAGGGTCGGGATCGAACCCACGACCTCCTGCGTACCAAGCGAGGTAGTCAACATCTCCCGGCCTCCGGTCTGTGACTCATGTGCCCAGTGCTGGAGCGGATTTACGAGTTTCTGGGCGTTTTGTCCGAAGTCCACCCGGCGGAGATGGTGGACCAGGCGGGGCCGCTGTTCAGAGTCTACCTGGGGGAACTGAAAAGACAGGTACAGGTGGCGCTGTGAGGACGACGATGCTGTGTGTGTGATGACGATGCTGTGTGTGTGATGACGATGATGCTGTATGTGTGATGATGACGGCGCTGTGTGTGTGATGGTGGTGATGACGATGCTGTGTGTGTGATGACGATGATGCTGTGTGTGTGATGATGACGGCGCTGTGGGTGTGATGACGATGATGCTGTGTGTGTGATGATGACGGCGCTGTGTGTGTGATGACGATGCTGTGTGTGTGTGATGACGATGATGCTGTGTGTGTGTGATGACGATGATGCTGTGTGTGTGATGATGACGGCGCTGTGTGTGTGATGACGATGCTGTGTGTGTGATGACGATGATACTGTGTGTGTGATGATGACGGCGCTGTGGGTGTGATGACGCTGATGCTGTGTGATGATGACGATGCTGTGTGTGTGATGACGATGCTGTGTGTGTGATGACGATGCTGTGTGTGTGATGACGGTGCTGTGTGTGTGTGATGACGATGCTGTGTGTGTGATGACGGTGCTGTGTGTGTGTGATGACGATGCTGTGTGTGATGACGATGCTGTGTATTATGACAATGCTGTGTGTGTGATGATGATGCTGTGTGTGATGGTGGTGACGATGCTGTGTGTGTGTGATGACGATGCCTTGTGTTGTGTGATGCTGTGTGTGTGATGATGACGGCGCTGTGTGATGATGACGGCGCTGTGTGTGATGGTGGTGACGATGCTGTGTGTGTGATGACGATGCCTTGTGTGTGTGATGCTGTGTGTGTGATGATGACGGCGCTGTGTGTGATGATGACGGCGCTGTGTGTGATGATGACGATGCTGTGTGTGATGGTGGTGATGACGATGCTGTGTGTGTGTGTGATGACGATGCTGCGTGTGTGATGACGATGATGCTGTGTGTGTGATGGTGGTGATGACGATGCTGCGTGTGTGATGACGATGATGCTGTGTGTGATGGTGGTGATGACGATACTGTGTGTGATGATGTTGACGATGCTGTGTGTGATGATGACGATGCTGTGTGTGTGATGGTGACGATGCTGTGTGTGATGGTGGTGATGACGATGCTGTGTGTGGTGATGGTGACGGTGCTGTGTGTGTGATGATGACGGTGCTGTGTGTGTGTGATGACGGTGCTGTGTGTGTGATGACGATGATGCTGTGTGTGATGGTGGTGATGACGATACTGTGTGTGATGATGTTGACGATGCTGTGTGTGATGATGACGATGCTGTGTGTGTGATGGTGACGATGCTGTGTGTGATGGTGGTGATGACGATGCTGTGTGTGGTGATGGTGACGGTGCTGTGTGTGTGATGATGACGGTGCTGTGTGTGTGTGATGACGGTGCTGTGTGTGTGATGACGGTGCTGTGTGTGTGATGACGGTGCTGTGTGTGTGATGACGATGCTGTGTGTGATGGTGGTGACGATGCTGTGTGTGTGATGACGATGCTGTGTGTGTGATGACGATGCTGTGTGTGATGGTGGTGACGATGCTGTGTGTGTGATGACGATGCTGTGTGTGTGTGTGATGACGATGCTGTGTGTGTGTGTGATGACGATGCTGTGTGTGTGATGACGATGCTGCGTGTGTAATGATGACGGTGCTGTGTAATGATGACGATGCTGTGTGTGTGATGATGACGGTGCTGTGTGTGTGATGATGACGATGCTGTGTGTGTGATGACGACGATGCTGTGTGTTATGATGACGATGCTGTGTGTGTGATGATGACGATGCTGTGTGTGTGATGATGACGATGCTGTGTGTGTGATGATGACGATGCTGTGTGTGTGATGATGCTGTGTGTGTGATGATGACGATGCTGTGTGTGTGATGATGACGATGCTGTGTGTAATGATGACGATGCTGTGTGTGTGATGATGACGATGCTGTGTGTGTGATGGTGACGATGCTGTGTGTTATGATGACGATACTGTGTGTGTGATGATGACGATGCTGTGTGTGTGATGATGACGATGCTGTGTGTGTGATGATGACGATGCTGTGTGTAATGATGACGATGCTGTGTGTAATGATGACGATGCTGTGTGTAATGATGACGATGCTGTGTGTGTGATGATGACGATGCTGTGTGTGTGTGATGACGATGCTGTGTGTGATGGTGATGATGCTGTGTGTGTGATGATGACGGGCGTGGTGCCGGCCGCCTTTGTAGGTGCTGCTCGCTGACAGCACTTGACCCTAGAGTCTGTTAAAGACTACACGGGGGACCTCTGTCTATGCGCTGTGTTTTTTTTCTGCGTAGATGTGTGGCGCTGTGCGTGCACCGCGCCTGGCACTGGTGGCAGGTTGTCTGAGAGGCCTCACCTCCCTGCTCGTTCACTTCTCGCAGTTGGCAGTAGAAGGTGGTAACCGCCACCGCTATCGCCACCGCTATCGCCACCACGATCACTATCACCACCATGATCACTATCACCACCACCCAGTACTAACACTACCACTATCGCCACCACCGCCATCACTATCGCCACCACCGCCACCACTATCACCACCACCACGATCACTATCACCACCACCCAGTACTAACCCTACCACTACCACTATCACCACCACCACCACCACGATCACTATCACCACCACCCAGTACTAACACTACCACTACCACTATCACCACCACCGCCATCACTATCGCCACCACCACCACGACCACTATCACCACCACCCAGTACTAACCCTACCACTACCACTATCACCACCACCGCCATCACTATCGCCACCACCGCCACCACCACCACGACCACTATCACCACCACCCAGTACTAACACTACCACTATCGCCACCACCGCCATCACTATCACCACCACCACGACCACTATCACCACCACCCAGTACTAACCCTACCACTATCACTATCGCCACCACCACCACTATGGCCACCACCACCACTTCCATTATGGCCCCCACCCAGTACTAACCCTACCACCACCACTACCGCCACCACCACCCAGTACTAACCCTACTACCACCACCACCACCAGCACCCAGTACTAACCTTTCTACCACCACCACCACTCAGTACTAACCTTACCACCACCACCACCACCACTCAGTACTAACCTTACCACCACCACCACTCAGTACTAACCTTACCACCACCACCACCACCACTCAGTACTAACCTTACCACCACCACCACCACCACCCAGTACTAACCTTACCACCACCACCACCACCCAGTACTAACCTTACCACCACCACCACCACCCAGTACTAACCTTACTACCACCACCACCACCACTCAGTACTAACCCTACTACCACCCACTACTCACCCTAACCCTACTATCCAAGTCAATAACACTTAGTACCAACACTAACTCTGCTGGTGTCTCCCCGTGTCTCCCTGCGTCTCCCTGCGTCTCTCCCCGTGTGTCTCTGTGTCTCCCCGTGTCTCTCCCCGTGCCTCCCCGCGTCTCCCCGTGTCTCCCTGCGTCTCCCTGCGTCTCTCCCCGTGTGTCTCGGTGTCTCCCCGTGTCTCCCCGTGTCTCTCTGTCTCCCCGTGTCTCTCCCCGTGTCTCCCCGCGTCTCCCCGTGTCTCCCTGCGTCTCCCCGCGTCCCCCCGTGTCTCCCCGTGTCTCCCCGTGTCTCTCTGTGTCTCCTCGTGTCTCTCTGTGTCTCCCCGTGTCTCCCCGTGTCTCCCCGTGTCTCTCTGTGTCTCTCTGTGTCTCTCCGTGTCTCTCCGTGTCTCTCCGTGTCTCTCCCCGTGTCTCTCCCCGTGTCTCCCCGTGTCTCTCCCCGTGTCTGTCCGTGTCTCCCCGTGTCTCTCTGTGTCTCCCCGTGTCTCCCCGTGTCTCTCTGTGTCTCTCTGTGTCTCCCCGCGTCTCCCCGTGTCTCCCTGCGTCTCCCCGCGTCTCCCCGCATCTCCCCGTGTTTCCCCGTGTCTCCCCGTGTCTCTCTGTGTCTCTCTGTGTCTCCCCGTGTCTCTCTGTGTCTCTCCCTGTGTCTCTCCCCGTGTCTCTCCCCGTGTCTCTCCCCGTGTCTGTCCGTGTCTCTCCGTGTCTCTCTCTGTGTCTCTCTCTGTGTCTCTCCCCGTGTCTCTCCCCGTGTCTCTCTATGTGTCTCTCTGTGTCTCCCCGTGTCTCCCCGTGTCTCTCTGTCTCCCCGTGTCTCTCTGTCTCCCCGTGTCTCTCCGTCTCCCCGTGTCTCCCCGTGTCTCCCCGCGTCTCCCCGTGTCTCCCCGCGTCTCCCCGTGTCTCTCTGTGTCTCTCCCCGTGTCTCCCCGTCTCCCCGTGATTCTCTGTTTGCGCAGGTTTAACAATTATTGGTGAGATCTTCAACTTCACACTCAAAGCCATTGACCCTGAGGTGAGATTATGTTGATGTTGATTATGGTGATGATGTTGTTGCTGCTGATGCTGATGTTTGCTACTGATGCTGATGTTGTCATTCTTGTCTGCTCGTGTGTATAGGCTCACCTTAACCGCTATGCCGTACCTTTGGGTGAGTCTACGGGTCTCTGTGTGAGTAGTCTGTGGGTCTCTACTGTGTGAGTAGTCTGTGGGTCTCTACTGTGTGAGTAGTCTGTGGGTCTCTACTGTGTGAGTAGTCTGTGGGTCTCTGTGTGTGAGTAGTCTGTGGGTCTCTACTGTGTGAGTAGTCTGTGGGTCTCTACTGTGTGAGTAGTCTGTGGGTCTCTACTGTGTGAGTAGTCTGTGGGTCTCTACTGTGTGAGTAGTCTGTGGGTCTCTACTGTGTGAGTAGTCTGTGGGTCTCTACTGTGTGAGTAGTCTGTGGGTCTCTACTGTGTGAGTAGTCTGTGGGTCTCTACTGTGTGAGTAGTCTGTGGGTCTCTACTGTGTGAGTAGTCTGTGGGTCTCTACTGTGTGAGTGGTCTCTGTGTGAGTAGTCTATGGGTCTCTGTGTCAGTGGTCTCTGTGTGAGTAGTCTATGGGTCTCTGTGTGAGTGGTCTCTGTGGGTCTCTGTGTGAGTAGTCTGTGGGTCTCTGTGTGAGTGGTCTCTGTGGGTCTCTGTGTGAGTGGTCTTTGTGTGAGTGGTCTCCGTGTGTCTCCGTGTCTGTGTGTCTCCGTGTGTCTCCGTGTGTCTCCGTGTGAGTTGTCTCCGTGTGTCTCCGTGTGTCTCCGTGTGAGTGGTCTCCGTGTGTCTCCGTGTGTCTCCGTGTGTCTCCGTGTCGTGTCTCCGTGTCGTGTCTCCGTGTGTCTCCGTGTGTCTCCGTGTGTCTCCGTGTGTCTCCGTGTCTCTCCGTGTGTCTCTGTGTGAGTGGTCTCCGTGTGTCTCCGTGTGTCTCCGTGTGTCTCCGTGTGTCTCCGTGTGAGTTGTCTCCGTGTGTCTCCGTGTGTCTCCGTGTGTCTCCGTGTGAGTAGTCTCCGTGTGTCTCCGTGTGTCTCCGTGTGTCTCCGTGTGAGTAGTCTCCGTGTGTCTCCGTGTGTCTCCGTGTGTCTCTGTGTGTCTCCGTGTCCGTGTGTCTCTCCGTGTGTCTCCGTGTGAGTAGTCTCCGTGTGTCTCCGTGTGTCTCCGTGTGTCTCCGTGTGAGTAGTCTCCGTGTGTCTCCGTGTGTCTCCGTGTGTCTCTCCGTGTGTCTCTCCGTGTGTCTCCGTGTGAGTGGTCTCCGTGTGTCTCCGTGTGTCTCTCCGTGTGTCTCCGTGTGTCTCCGTGTGTCTCCGTGTGTCTCTCCGTGTGTCTCTCCGTGTGTCTCCGTGTGTCTCTCCGTGTGTCTCTCCGTGTGTCTCCGTGTGTCTCCGTGTGTCTCCGTGTGTCTCCGTGTGTCTCCGTGTGTCTCCGTGTGAGTAGTCTCCGTGTGTCTCTGTGTGTCTCCGTGTGTCTCCGTGTGTCTCTCCGTGTGTCTCTGTGTGTCTCCGTGTCTCTCCGTGTGAGTGGTCTCCGTGTGAGTGGTCTCCGTGTGTCTCCGTGTCTGTGTGTCTCCGTGTGTCTCCGTGTGTCTCCGTGTGTCTCCGTGTCGTCCCCCACAGCCGGCCTGCGGCTCCTGGCTCGCCACGCTGCCTCTGGGCCCTTTGGGCCGCTGCTCGCACAGCGGCACGCCGCCCTGTGGCCCACCCTGTGGCGGTGGAGCGGCCACCGCAGCCACACGGAGGCAGCGCGGTCGGCACAGGCGGCCACGGAGGCCGTGCTCAAGCAGGTGGGCGGGGTGGGGGGCGGGGCGGGAGGGTGGGTGGGTGGGTTGGTGGGTGGGTGGGTTGGTGGGTGGGTGGAGGGGTGGGTGGGTGGGTCGGTGAGTGTGTGGGTCGGTGAGTGTGTGGGTGGGTGGGTGTGTGGGTGGATGTGTGGGTGGGTGGGTGGGTGAGTGTGTGGGTGGGTGGGTCGGTGGCTGGGTGGGTCGGTGAGTGTGTGGGTGGGTGGGTGAGTGAGTGGGTGGGTGATTTGGTGTGTGGGTGGGTCGGTGAGTTTGTGGGTGGGTGATTTGGTGTGTGGGTGGGTCGGTGAGTTTGTGGGTAGGTAGGTAGGTGGGTGTGTGGGTGGGTCGGTGAGTGTGTGGGTGGGTGGGTGAGTGAGTGGGTGGGTGATTTGGTGTGTGGGTGGGTCGGTGAGTGTGTCGGTGGGTGATTTGGTGTGTGGGTGGGTCGGTGAGTTTGTGGGTAGGTGGGTAGGTGGGTGTGTGGGTGGGTCGGTGAGTGTGTGGGTGGGTGAGTGTGTGGGTGGCTGGGTGGGTCGGTGAGTGGGTGGGTGGGTCGGTGAGTGTGTGTGTGGGTGGGTGGTTTTGTGGGTGAGTGGGTGGGTGGGTGGGTCAGTGAGTGGGTGGGGGTGGTTGGGGTTTACAGTGTGTGTTAGTGTCACGGTGAGTGTGTGGGTGGGTGGGTGGTTTTGTGGGTGAGTGGGTGGGTGGGTCAGTGTGTGTGTGGGTGGGTCGGTGAGTGTATGTGTGTTGGTGGGTCGGTGAGTGTGTGGGTGGGTGGGTGGTTTTGTGGGTGAGTGGGTGGGTGGGTGGGTCAGTGAGTGGGTGGGGGTGTTTGGGGTTTACAGTGTGTGTTAGTGTCACGGTGAGTGTGTGGGTGGGTGGGTGGTTTTGTGGGTGAGTGGGTGGGTGGGTGGGTCAGTGAGTGGGTGGGGGTGTTTGGGGTTTACAGTGTGTGTTAGTGTCACGGTGAGTGTGTGGGTGGGTGGGTGGTTTTGTGGGTGGGTGGGTGGGTCAGTGAGTGGGTGGGGGTGTTTGGGGTTTACAGTGTGTGTTAGTGTCACGGTGAGTGTGTGTGTGGGTGGGTGGTTTTGTGGGTGAGCGGGTGGGTGGGTGGGTCAGTGAGTGGGTGGGGGTGTTTGGGGTTTACAGTGTGTTAGTGTCACGGTGAGTGTGTGGGTGGGTGGGTGGTTTTGTGGGTGGGTGGGTCGGTGAGTGTGTGGGTGGGTCGGTGAGTGTGTGGGTGGGTGGGTGTGTGGGTGGGTGGGAGGGTGGGTGGGTGTTTGGGTGGGTCGGTGAGTGGGTGGGTATGTGGGTGGGTCGGTGAGTGTATGGGTGGGTGATTGGGTGTGTGGGTGGGTCGGTGAGTGTGTGGGTGGGTCGGTGAGTGTGTGGGTGGGTGGGTGATTGGTTGTGTGGGTGGGTCGGTGGGTGGGTGAGTGAGTGGGTGGGTGATTTGGTGTGTGGGTGGGTCCGTGAGTGTGTGGGTGGGTGGGTGTGTGGGTGGGTCGTTGAGTGTGTGGGTGGGTGAGTTGGTGGGTGTGTGGGTGGGTGGTTTTGTGAGTGTATGTGTGTTGGTGGGTCAGTGAGTGTGTGTGTGGGTGGGTGGGTGGTTTTGTGGGTGGGTTGTTGAGTGGGTGGGTGGGTGGGTCAGTGAGTGTGGGGGTGTTTGGGGTTTACAGTGTGTGTTGGTGTCACGGTGAGCGTCACTTTAACCCCCTAACCCCGCCGTCTTCGCCACCTCCGTAGATATCGACGCAGCTGTCCACCGACCCCACCACCACCACCACCGCTACCACCGACCCCACCACCGCTACCACCAGCAGCAGCAGCAGCAGCAGCAGGGAGTCGCTGCTGCTGTTTTTCCTGAAGCGGTTTTATGCGACTTTCCAGGAAAATCCTTGCTCCCACGCTCACCTCTCCCTCGCCATCAGGGGGATCGGCATTCTCGCGGCGGTGAGGGCGCGGGGAGGATGTCGCTCGCTCGCCCACTCACTCACCCACTCGCTCGCTCACCCACCCACACACTCACCCACCCACTCACCCACCCACTCACCCACCCACTCACCCACTCACTCACCCACTCACTCACCCACCCACTCACCCACCCACTCGCTCACCCACTCGCTCACCCACCCACACACTCACTCACCCACTCACTCACCCACCCACTCACTCACCCACCCACTCACCCACCCACCCACACACTCACCCACCCACTCACCCACCCACTCACCCACCCACTCACCCACTCACTCACCCACTCACTCACCCACTCACTCACCCACCCACTCACCCACCCACTCACTCACCCACCCACTCACCCACCCACCCACACACTCACCCACCCACTCACCCACCCACTCACCCACCCACTCACCCACTCACTCACCCACTCACTCACCCACCCACTCACCCACCCACTCGCTCACCCACCCACTCGCTCACCCACCCACACACTCACCCACCCACTCACCCACCCACTCACCCACTCACCCACCCACTCGCTCACCCACCCACACACTCACCCACCTACTCACCCACCTACTCACCCACCCACCCACCCACTCGCTCACCCACCCACACACTCACCCACCTACTCACCCACCCACTCACCCACCCACCTACCCACTCACTCACCCACCCACCCACTCGCTCACCCACCCACACACTCACCCACCCACACACTCACCCACCTACTCACCCACCCACTCACCCACCCACTCACCCACCCACCTACCCACTCACTCACCCACTCGCTCACCCACCCACACACTCACCCACCCACTCGCTCACCCACCCACTCGCTCATTCACCCACTCGCTTACTCACTCACTCACCCACCTACTCACCCACCCGCTCACCCACCCACTCGCTCACCCACCCACCCGCTCACTCACCCACCCACTCACCCACCCACTCGCTCACCCACCCACACACTCACCCACTCACCCACCCACCCACCTACCCACTCACTCACCCACCCACTCACCCACCCACTCACCCACCCACTCGCTCACCCACCCACACACTCACCCACCCACTCGCTCACCCACCCACTCGCTCATTCACCCACTCGCTTACTCACTCACTCACTCACCCACCTACCCACTCACCCACCCACCCACTCACCCACCCACTCGCTCACCCACCCACCCGCTCACTCACCCACCCTCTCACACACCTGCCATCTGCTTATCCACCCACTCGCTCACCCACCCACCCGCTCACTCGCTCACCCACCCACTCACCCACCCACTCGCTCACCCACCCACACGCTCACCCATCCACTCACTCACTCACTTGCCTAACCACCCGCCCGTTGACCTCTCCTCTCCCCTTTCCCTCCCCCTGCCCCTCACGACCCCCAGCCCTGCAAGGTGCTACTACCGGGCCAAGTGGATTTCATGTTTTCGGAGCTCATGCAGAGAGCGTCGCTCATCCTCCACATCGTCACAGCGGGCGGCGAGGGTGGACGAGGTGCAGGGGACGACGCCGACGACGACGACGATGACGGAGGAGGAGGTGGGGGAGGGGACGACTCCGCTTACATCCTTCCAAGCTTCCTGCAGGCGCTCGCTAGCGTGGTGGACGCCCTGGACGAGGTGAGCTCGCCCGCTCACTCAGTCGCTCGCTCGCTCAGTCGCCCGCTCGCTCACTCAGTCGCCCGCTCGCTCACTCAGTCGCTCGCTCACTCACTCAGTCGCCCGCTCGCTCACTCAGTCGCTCGCTCGCTCAGTCGCTCGCTCACTCAGTCGCTCGCTCGCTCAGTCGCTCGCTCACTCAGTCGCTCGCTCGCTCAGTCGCTCGCTCACTCAGTCGCTCGCTCGCTCAGTCGCTCGCTCACTCAGTCGCTCGCTCGCTCAGTCGCTCGCTCACTCAGTCGCTCGCTCACTCAGTCGCTCGCTCACTCAGTCGCTCGCTCGCTCAGTCGCTCGCTCGCTCGCTCAGTCGCTCGCTCGCTCAGTCGCCCGCTCGCTCACTCAGTCGCTCGCTCACTCAGTCGCTCGCTCGCTCAGTCGCTCGCTCGCTCGCTCAGTCGCTCGCTCGCTCAGTCGCTCAGGTCGCTCGCTCGCTCAGTCGCTCGCTCACTCAGTCGCTCGCTCGCTCGCTCAGTCGCTCGCTCGCTCAGTCGCTCGCTCGCTCGCTCAGTCGCTCGCTCGCTCAGTCGCCCGCTCGCTCACTCAGTCGCTCGCTCACTCAGTCGCTCGCTCGCTCAGTCGCTCGCTCACTCAGTCGCTCGCTCGCTCAGTCGCTCGCTCACTCAGTCGCTCGCTCACTCAGTCGCTCGCTCACTCAGTCGCTCGCTCGCTCAGTCGCTCGCTCGCTCGCTCAGTCGCTCGCTCGCTCAGTCGCCCGCTCGCTCACTCAGTCGCTCGCTCACTCAGTCGCTCGCTCGCTCAGTCGCTCGCTCGCTCGCTCAGTCGCTCGCTCGCTCAGTCGCTCAGTCGCTCGCTCGCTCAGTCGCTCGCTCACTCAGTCGCTCGCTCGCTCGCTCAGTCGCTCGCTCGCTCAGTCGCTCGCTCGCTCGCTCAGTCGCTCGCTCGCTCAGTCGCCCGCTCGCTCACTCAGTCGCTCGCTCACTCAGTCGCTCGCTCGCTCAGTCGCTCGCTCGCTCGCTCAGTCGCTCGCTCGCTCAGTCGCTCAGTCGCTCGCTCACTCAGTCGCTCGCTCACTCAGTCGCTCGCTCGCTCGCTCAGTCGCTCGCTCGCTCAGTCGCTCGCTCGCTCGCTCAGTCGCTCGCTCGCTCAGTCGCTCACTCGCTCAGTCGCTCGCTCACTCAGTCGCTCGCTCACTCAGTCGCTCGCTCGCTCACTCAGTCGCTCGCTCACTCACTCAGTCGCTCGCCCGCTCAGGCGGTTGCTCCGTTGGTCGCTCTACAGCCTCGCACACCTGCCTACTCACCCACTCACCCACTCACCTACTCACCTACTCACCTCACTCACCCACCTACTCACCCACTCACCTACTCAACCACCTACTCACCTACTCACCCACTCACCTACTCACCTACTCACCTACTCACCCACTCACCTACTCACCTACTCACCTCACTCACCCACCTACTCACCCACCTACTCACCCACTCACCTACTCAACCACCTACTCACCTACTCACCTACTCAACCACCTACTCACCTACTCACCCACCCACCTACTCACCTACTCACCTACCCACCCACCTACTCACCCACCCACCTACTCACCTACTCACCCACCTACTCACCCACCCACCCACCTACTCACCCACCCACCTACTCACCTACTCACCCACCTACTCACCCACCCACCCACCCACCTACTCACCTACCCACCCACCTACTCACCCACCCACCTACTCACCTACTCACCCACCTACTCACCCACCCACCCACCTACTCACCTACTCACCCACCCACCTACTCACCTACTCACCTACTCACCCACTCACTCACCTACTCACCTACTCACCCACCCACATACTCACCTACTCACCCACCCACCTACTCACCTACTCACCCACTCACCTACTCACCTACTCACCCACTCACTCACCTCACCTACTCACCCACCCACCTACTCACCTACTCACCCACCCACCTACTCACCTACTCACCTACTCACTCACCTACTCACCTACTGACCCACCCACCCACCTACTCACCTACTCACCTACCCACCTACTCACCTACTTACCCACCTACTCACCTACTCACCCACCTACTCACCTACTCACCTACTCACCCACCCACCTACTCACCTACTCACCCACTCACCCACTCACCTACTCGCCTACTCACCCACCACTCACCCACTCACCTACTCACCCACCCACCCACCCACTCACCCACCCACCTACCCACCCACTCACCCACCTACCCACCCACTCACCCACCCACCTACCCACCCACTCACCCACCCACCTACTCACCCACTCACCCACCCACCTACTCACCCACCCACCCACCTACTCACCCACCCACCCACCTACTCACCCACTCACCCACTCACCTACTCGCCTACTCACCCACCTACTCACCCACTCACCTACTCACCCACCCACCCACTCACCCACCCACCTACTCACCCACCCACCCACCCACCTACCCACCCACTCACCCACCCACCTACTCACCCACCCACCCACCTACTCACCCACCCACCCACCCACCTACTCACCCACTCACCCACTCACCTACTCGCCTACTCACCCACCTACTCACCCACTCACCTTCTCACCCACCCACTCACTCACCCACCCACCCACCCACCCACCCACCTACTCACCCACCCACCTACTCACCCACCCACCTACCCACCCACTCACCCACCCACCCACACACTCACCCACCCACTCACCCACCCACCCACCTACTCACCCACCCACCTACCCACCCACTCACCCACCCACCCACTCACTCACCCACCCACTCACCCACCCACCCACCTACTCACCCACCCACCTACTAACCAACCCACCCACCCACCTACTCACCCACCCACCCACCTACTAACCAACCCACCCACCCACCTACTCACCTACTCACCTACTCGCCTACTCACCCACGTACTCACCCACTCACCCACCCACCTACTCACCCACCCACCCACCTACTCACCCACCTACTCACCCACCCACCTACCCCCCCCCCACCTACTCACCCACCCACCTACTCACCCACCCACCCACTTACCCCCCCCACCTACTCACCCACCCACCCACTCACCCACTCACCCACCCACCTACTAACCAACCCACCCACCTACTCACCCACCCACCCACCTACTAACCAACCAACCAACCCACCCACCTACCCCCCCACCTACCCACAGATACCCGAGTGCCAGCTGCCCCTGCTGCAGCGCCTGCTGCTGCTGCAGATGGAGAGCGTGGTGCTCTACAGCCCTCGGCTCGCACACATCGCCACCCACCTACTCACCCACCCACCTACTCACCCACCCACCTACTCACCCACTCACCTACTCACCTACGCACCTACTCACCCACTCACCCACTCACCCACCCACCCACTCACCTACTCACCCACCCACCCACCTACTCACCCACCTACTCACCCACCTACCCACCTACTCACCCACCCACTCACCCACCCACCCACCTACCCCCCCACCTGCCCACAGATACCCGAGTGCCAGCTGCCCCTGCTGCAGCGCCTGCTGCTGCTGCAGATGGAGAGCGTGGAGCTCTACAGCCCTCGGCTCGCACACATCGCCATCCGGGCCCTCGTGCGTCTCCTGCTCGCACTTAGCCGCAAGGGGGCTCAATACCGCTCCCTCCTGCAAGCCGTGGGTGGGGGGGGGGGTGGGTGGGTGGATGGGGGAGTGGGTGGGTGGGTGGGGGTGTGGGTGGGTGGGAGAGGGAGTGGGTGGGGGAGTGGGTGGTTGGGTGGTTGGGTGGTTGGGTGAGTGAGTGGGTGAGTGAGTGAGTGGGTGAGTGAGTGAGTGGGGGAGTGGGTGGGTGAGTGCGTGGGTGGGTGACTGTGTACAGTGAGGGAAACAAGTATTTGATCCCCTGCTGATTATGTAC